TGCTTTCTTATCGCTCCCCGCATTTCGCTCCTTTTGAATTTCCATGCGTTTATAACTCTATCAAAACGGCCTTTTATCCGTTTCCACGCAGCACCGTACCAGATTTCCACACAACCTTTACGGAGGTATCTCATGAACTCACCTATAGTAGATCGGCCGGCTATATGTGACACAACCAACGCCTGAAGGTACATGTTTGTGACGTGCCCCTTACCTCGGACGCGGCACGGCTGATATCAGAATACTCACTTGCCTTTTCTGTAATTGTTTTCTATATTCTGTCCACGTTCTGTCCACGTTGTCGCAATGCAAGCATCGCAGGGTTGGGACACTGTGCTTTGGCAGGGCTGAAGTTGGTAATTTTCGCAACATTACGTTCCGTTGCCTTTTTGGGGATTGGGCTTCACTTATCCCCAAATTTTGGAGCCCCCATATCTTGTTTAAAATCAACTATTTCGATGACAATGTCCATGAGGCCAGCAATATGGGTTCGCAGCTCAAGTGGTCGAAAATATAGGATGTATTCTTTCAAGTCATTAGCTGTTTTGATTACAAGGTCTACCTGCTTTCAAGTGGAAGTGCAAAGTCGATCACGGACGCTCTAAAGGATACATATGGTGAAGTCTTATTATACCTTAGTCATTTGCTTGTCTAACAAGCTGCTCATTTTAAGTTAGCCATACGTCCTGTCTCTTCTATCTCTACTAGTATAAACCGAATGAGGAAGTGAAGCATTGGTCTTTCATCATGAATGCGCTCCTGCATCGTTTTACGTTTGTCTTCTATTCATGGTGCGCCATCCTATGCATGGTTTCCTATGAGGGCAATACCAAGAATTGTAGCGATACTTTTCTTGCTCAATTAAAACACGAAAATAGCAATGGATCTACCCAAGTTCAAGTGCTTGTTATAAAACTAAGATATATTCCATAGCTACATAGTCCAATCGATTCCGTTGAATCCTAAGTTCAAACATTGAAAAGGTGTAAGTATAACTCGCAATTGCCATGATATTGAACCTCGGACTATAATTACGTTGTGTCTATATCCGCGGCTTTTTCCAAGCTCTTTGGTCTCTTGGAAGCGAGATCAAATCCGTATCCAAAGTAATCACAAACCCTGCCACACCACGTGTCCCACGTGTAAGCCAAGCCCTCCGGCTTTTTAACGCGAAGACGAACCGCACCGAGCCGATCCCCGCGCTCGCTTCGCTATTGATCATCGTTTGAACATTCAAGTCCAGTGTAGGTACGGTATTCAACATTTCTCAACGGTTCACTTCACCTATATTACTATCTATTAGAGTTAAACCCTATATACGAGTGTCATGATAGGCAGTGCCAATATATCTCGTAAGTAGTATATGTTTTAAAGTAGTAACTTTAACGATAAATTATAAGTCCAGTTTCGAGGGAGAAATTATAACTAGCCTAGCTTAGAAACATACGAGTACCTAAAAGTACTAATTAACGAATGCGGTGTTTAGCTAGATGCATATGCTGATAACATACGCGCACGTAGGGCATAGTCGATTATGTTCGTTCTACTGGTTCGCAGATCTTGACGATAATCCCATTAGTCTTAGTCTTACAACGGAACGGCATCAAAAGGGCTTTCTGATATCAAACGGGATCGGATGGGATAAGACAGCTCTGGTATGGACTCAGCTTCCTAAGCCTTTCTTGCTGCATATTCTAATTTCTCTGCTTCCTATTTCAGCTGACACGTCGTACAACCCCGCAGCCACCGTCTGAAAAAATACAGGTTACACCAGCGGGGATAACATCCAACTACGACAATCAATACGAGAATGATATATGATATAACGAGGGGGCCTGCACAAAGTCATTGCTCTCTGGCTCTTGCTGCAATACGAGAGTTGCCCCTCTATAATCGATAGTATCTTATAGATTCTTCGATATCGAGCCGAAGAAATCGTGGGGAGGGCTACCAGCCTGAGACAACAGCTAAACACAACGAGGTTCCCACGAGCTGTCAGTTTAAGCGTGTATTCAGCTACTGCGAAGATAAACATGTGGCCAAGTTGTGTGACCAACCACTAGTAACACCACATCAGATACTTGTTTCTCTACTAAGATAGCAATCTACCTTCTTATTATAGGGATGCAAGGCTTATTCAGTACGGTCATTCTCGGCATTATTAGCACTTTCATATACCTCTTATCAACGGCTCCCTCTGCAGGAGCTGATATGCTTACATTCATAAGCATCATAAGTCAATATAAGCTAAGACATACCCCATGTTCTCCCTTATTATCAGGGAAAGAACAACATATACAGTAAACATCCAAACCCATGACGCTTGTCTGAAACATGCAGCTGGAGTTAAACGGTGCTGCAGTGGCGGAGTCAAACTTTGGCAGCGCGGCCTTATTCTCCCACACGCGCCGTAACCGTATTCGTTAACATCTAAAGTCTGATACTACATAGATGACGAGAGTCGAATTCAAGCCGGCACTCGCGGTCTTGGAGTCGATCTATAGCCGCATGAAATGTCTAGCAATTTGTTGTCCCATGTGGCCTGTCTCACCAGAACCCCGCGTGGTTGCATTGCTAAAAGCGTGGGACAGAGACATTTCATCATCAAAACGTCAATCGCTAAATAGAAGAGATGTTAACCTTTCCCCCAGTTTTAGTCGTCTAAGTGTAGAAGGAGGATCGAAAGCATTCCCGCATCCTCCTGGAGTTGAAAAAATTGAAGTTCAGCTGAGCTGAGCTAAAACCTTAGGGACTCCATTCGCTAAGCCACTTGCCTAAACCTGAATCTTAATCAAAGCGTAGATAGCGTCATGAATTGTATTATCCGGCAACCTCAGAGTAACTCCTACCAATTCCATTTCGGTAAACATTGGAAAGTCTGGAATACGGTATACGGAGTATCGCTCGATACGGCCACTTGGAGCAAAAGGAATCCGTTCAGCACAGGCCAAGTCGGTCAAATATCAGATTCGAGAAAGCAGCAAATGGCCGGATAACCGGTATACAATAATGCCTGTTCCTCTATAAGATCAGCCGTTATGATACAACACCACGAACGTTGTAATTAATAAAAGCAAGATAAAGTAAGGTATGATGCGGACGGAGTACGGAGGTACTTTCCCTCCGTACGAAATTTGCTTAAACCTTGCACCGGGAGCCTGCCGCCGCTACGCTTACCAGCGCCAGCACCCTGGGTCATCCCATTGCAGGGTTCTGGCAAGCGTAAGTCAGCGACCCGAGGCATGGGATTGGGGCATATTACGAAGTAACCGTACTTGAAAAGGAACGAACGAATATCATGACTATTATACCTCCATTTTAGGTTTGCATTACCGCAGGCTCGGCGAGCCGGCAGCGATCTTATACGCGCAAGAGAATGTATAATACGCCCCAGATAAGTGTTTCATCGGGGAACCAGAGTTAGCCGACGACAGCTAGTTACTTCGTACAGGTCTACAACTTGTAGGCTACTACTTTTCCGCCGCTACGTACGGGGCGGCCCCTTTTGAAAAGGGTACTCCGTAGTTTGTAGTTTGCTGAGTAGGAATAGAATTAATCATAGGTATGAACAAAATGAGTTGCGGGTTCGTCGGAACTTCATTCTGTTGCATCGCCGTTGTTTGTCTGCCTATATTGATACGAGTAGTCATATTATTGCTGCTATCACTCGGCGCTTCCAGCGCTTTCAGCGCGAGCTGAGAAGCCTTTCAAAACGGCGAATTAACGACGAGGATTCGTTCTGCATTTTCATGATACAGGACTTTGTACTTCGTTCAGTAGTTTGGTGACATTGTGGGGGTTTTAAAAAAAGGCGATATAGCTTGGACCTGGGGATTGCTTCTTTAGCTTCTTTGAATTATTGCAAAATGCCACATGGCCCCACGAGGCATGGGGATTGATCCATGTGGGTGCGGGAAGAGAGGTGGCACGCACGGCAACCACCCGAGAATAAATTGCTTTTGCATCCTGTTGTTTGGTGCTCCTGGCCTACTCCGTCTCCGTATTTAAATTTACGAAGTGTGAAACTTACCTTATGAAGATCGTCATAAGAACAAGCTTACGACGGAGCACGTTGCGATGACAGGTAGTCATCCACCGTGAAACTGACCTGTCATGTGTTGTGTTTTAAAGACATGTTTTGACTGTGGCCGTTATTGCGTAGCTACGGTGATAAGATAAGTTACATCGAGAAGAATTGAAATACCTAGGTATCTTATTTATGCAAGTTGAAAGCGAAAGAAAGGGAGGGGGCAAATGTCATGCCTCGTCAGGAACGAACCTTCTGCTTGTTACTAGGTAGTCATTCTATCGATCCATGTAAATCAGTTACTTGTATTTCTCCTAAAATCCGTATTCGTGTGAATATAGATAGACCCGAGGTCATGTGTCTATGAACCCTCGTGTCGAGAAAAAATCTGTTATCGTTGCCTGATTTTTGGATCCGTCTACTTGAGCAGTTCTAGCTGTATCTTGCTTACATGATGTGTGTTGGAATTTGATTGATTCCACATATAAAGGAGTCTCGGGATGAATGGCTTGCTTGCTTGTTGATTATTGATTATTGGAAAAGCGAGGATATGAGGGGGGATAACAGGCATTCGGATGTTGACAGCAACGAAAGAAAGTATAGCTAGGTAATTGGCTTTTTGACTTTAATTTCTGCTCAAGAGTTTTCTTTTTGATTGATAGGAATGGGGCGTGTAAGGAGTAGCGACGACGTGTCGATGAGGGCTTGAGGATGGAGAAACAGCGCCGCTGTATATTGTGGTAGGGCTTGTGGAACTGTTGTGATGATGTGTTGGCCAAGTCTGAGCAAAATGCAGAATATAGGGAAGTGAGGGAATTCTATAGATCTTGTCTAGGTAAGTTTGGAAAGAGCTTAGAGGGTAATTTCAAGTGATGTTTCTAGCTCCGCATCTATACAACCTCAACATGGAAGAGGAACCAGATCCGAAACAAACACTGAAGACCAACTATCGACCGCATCCCATCCTAAGACTCTACATCTCAAGACTCCGTGTTCCATGCTCTACGCTTTCGCTCTGACCCTCTTCAATAGTCTCCAGGGCCACATCACGCCTCCACAACACACTCCCAATATAACTCCCCTTACAAACTTTATCTTCCTTTCCACTCTTCCCAATCTGCACATTCCCAAGCGCCAAACAAGCCAGCACACCCAGCCAGCAAAAAGCGCTCAGCGCGTAAAAAGCAAGCACGATTCCCCTCTTAGCCTTCTCCCTCAAGAAAGCCTGCTGCTGCGGATTCATGCCCGCAATGGCGTCGAAACTCGAGGCCGAGTCTGCACTACCGCTGAACGAGATTCCGGAAGCCCGGAGCGTATTGTTGAAAATGTTGAGCATGAGCGTAGTAGCGATGATGCCGCCTAGGCTGGTTGAGAGGCATGTCATGGAGATGATGCTTGCGATTTGTGCTGGAAAGTAGGCGATACTGTGGAGGGTTCCGGGCATGAACCGTAGGCCGGTGCCAATGCCGGTCAGGGCGAGCATACCGTAGATGGTGCTTTGGTTGTTACTGTTGAGGGCTAAGGCTAGGAGGGTGATGCCAAGGGGTTCGATGAATGTGCCAAGAATGAGGGGGAAGAATGTTTGGAGGGGAAATTTGTTGCACGCGAACATTGCGATGTAGGCGCCACCTGTTTGGAATTAGTAATTAGTACGAGGAGAGGTAGAAGAGAGACATGCCTGCTAGACCGGGCATGTAGTAGATCAAGTTCAAACCTGACTTTCCAGATGCGAATTGCTTGACCAGCGCGAAGTACAAGCCGACGAAATAAAATACGGCGTACATAGCCATGCCAGTGACAAAATTGATGTACATTAACACTCCCGCATTCCGTGAACAAACGAGGTTGAACGGAATCATGGCTTTTTGAGTTGGAAAACTTAGAGAAAGTGTACTGCCAGGAAGCATTAGATATTCCCATGCGATGAAAGCAACTGTCAGGATACATCCAACAATAAGAGGAGTGAGGACCTTGACGTCTGACCAAGGATAGTAAGATCCTGCCCAGGTCAAGCCGAGCACTAAAAGACCGATTCCAAAGAGGAAAAGGAATTGCCCAACGAAGTCGATGGTGGCCACTTTTGCCCTGAAGGTCTGAGAGACTTCGACATCCGTGGGACTGTTTGTTCTTGTGACCTTCTGTGGTCCTAGCAGCTCTGGTCGCAGAACGAAATGCGCGAGAGCGAGACCGAGAATACCTAGGGGAACGTTGATGATGAAGCACCATCTCCAGCTAGCCTGGGTCAAGTACCCACCAATGACAGGACCCACACCGTAGCCAATACCTGCAACGATGGTGAACGTTGTGTTATTCCTCGCATTTTCCTTCAGAGAAACTTTGTCGGCGAGGACGATTTTCGTAATAATCAGCAGGCCAGAACAACCGAGTCCTTGAAATGCTCTACCCACGAGAAGCATCGCGAATGAAGTGACCGGAGCTGCCGAACAGAGGATACTCCCAAGTAACATGACAAGAAGGGCTGTCTGAATCGCAGTATAGCGACCAAAGACATCGGCATATTGGGCCCAGAGGGGAATAAAAGTGGCCGAAGTAAGTTTAAACGCTGAGATGATCCAGTTTAGTTGCGAAAGCTGGTCTGTTTGAAGTCAGCTAAGGAGTAAGCAACTTTGCTGAAAAGTACTACATGCACCGCTTGATGGAGGCAGGCTTACTTACGGAAATCAGACGCAATATAAGGCAAAGCACCTGCGATTATGGTTGAGTCTAGTGCTTGCACCAAGAATGGGCAAGATAAACCAACGATGACTTTCCAGCGATACTTTCTCAATGCCTGCTTCTGATATCGGCAAACCTCACAAGCATCGTCTCCATCGGAAACAAAACTTTTATCGATGGTTCGGGGGATATCCTTCTCGCGTCTCGTATGGGGTTCCACGAGAGGGATATCAGAAGCGTTGCTTATGTCTCTTTGGTGAATGCAAGAGGGTGTCTGACTCGGAGATGTCTGTTGACTCGAGTACTTTTTCAGGAACTTTTTGTATAACATGGTGGCCATTCCTTGAAGAGTATGCCTTAAAATGAGGGCAGTTGAAGGAATTTCAACTCCTTTCCGAATATGGTACTGAGAAAATGAGTCGAATGGTACATAGCGAGCGTTAACTACTTATATCTTTGAAATCGCAAACAAAAACGAGAGGAGATGTAGCATACGAATCATTATACAGTAGTCTGAGCTTCACTTGAGGCTAAGCAGCACGCGATAAGGTACGGATATATATGCGGCTATAAAGACTTTGCCCCGAAACAGATATACTTGCTGTTGGATACCCGCAGTACTTGGCCGAGAGCTCATTTTGCAGCGGCGGGCGCTCGTGCTGCAGCCTCAAAGGTAAAATATCCGCTCAGCTCAGCCTTGGTCAGCCTATGGCTGCCTATGGCTGCCTAGTCTGGAGTCCATCCGCCCGGTCATCGCCTCAATTACTATGCCTTGATGATGCTGGATTGAAGACTGTGTTGTGGTGTTGTCGCGAGTGATTCGCCAACTTCCTGCTACCCCAAATGCGGTTAGCTTCTGCATGCTTGGTCCAAGCTGTGATTGGCGGTGCAATGTGTACGTCAGCATGTACTTCGTCAATGGGAAGCATCTCATCTCAAGTCCATTCCAAACCAACGTCTTCAACTTCACGTATTTCCCTTTTGGGCAGTCTTATTCATGTACATTGCATAGTTCTTTCTGTCTTATGCCCTCATTTTTCCTGCTAGCTACTTGCCCCCCTAAACGGTCGATATGCACTAGTTTGCATCATATTCCTCGTGATCTAGAACAGTCTCCCGTTTTCCTTCTCATTTTGGCCATTCCGAGTACTGTGCTATACTGTGCGTGTAAGCGATGGTCTTCTGTGGGAAGCCATCTGGCGGATGTCATGCCTGTAGAGCAAGAAAGACAAGAGTAAGTATGAGTACCTACTGTAGGTAATGAGTGGTTTCGTGACAGTGTCCCCCTAATTCAGTCACGGGAAGCAAAGTGCACTCACTCACTACATGCTTTTAACAACAACCCCTTCGGCCTGGGATATTGTTGACATCCCATAGTGTGATAAAGTACCCGAAGGCTGCGGCCAATGCAAGAATGCCAAGCGTATCTGTCCTGGCTACCGAAAACTAGGCGACCTGATCTTCCGCGACGAATCAAGCAATGTGGTGCATAAGTTTAAGGCTAGAGAGGCTCGAGAGGCTAAGACGATGGCCTCTGTACCTGCTATCGACATTATTAGGTCCCAAGAAAATGCAGCTCAGGGTTCTCGGGAAACGTCACTTGAAATTGTTCAACAACAAGACTCCTTGATGTCTATCAGATATGCCGTAGCTCCCACTATCGAGGATCAAGCTACCGGCTTCTTTATTTTTAACTATGTATTAGACATCCATGGGCCCAGCAAAGGCCATTTTTACAACCTGGTCGATATTGCTCGAGACCAAAAGATAGAAGATAGTCTCATGACGAGCATGAAAGCTGTTGGACTCGCTGCCTACGGTAGATAATCATTCTACTTTGTTTCGCCCCCTTTGTAGCGCTGTGTTGAGAGTCACGGACAGCATTTCGTCCTTATGATTGTTGATCTTTGCTAATGCTGATTTTTCCATAGCACACACAACACGTACCCCCTCACTTCTCCAAAATGCCCGCTACCAATACATGAAAGCTATCCAGCTTACGAACGCTGCCCTTACCTCACCCAAAGATGTAATCAAAGATAGCACGTTGATGGCCATTCATGTTCTTGGCCTCTTCGAAACAGTCACAGGATGTAGACAGCGCTCAATCAAAGACTGGTCTGAGCATCTGCACGGTGCAGCAGCTGTCATTAAATTGCGTGGTCCTGACCAAATTAAAACCCGCCCTGGTCGTCACATGCTCATACAGTAAGTACAACATTCTTTGCTATAACATCCGTCGTATTTTCATGTTTCCTCCTATCCTTTATGCGGTCTGAACTTTCTCTTTAGACTACATGAACCAGCAGAATCTGACTCTCTCTACCTAGTCTTGCATCCCAATTGATGATATCATGCATGCAAGACAATAGAAGGCTGCCTGCATATATCCGCGAATACATGGATGCAGCTTTTATGAAAGTCGGCACCCCAGAGCCTTCATTCGTAATACTACACTGCACGATGCAGTACACCGATTTGAACTCTGACATTCAGAACAAAGTCATCACCGACCCTGAAACCATCATCTCCAAATGTCTAGAAATAGATGGATTCCTCCTTGCAATAGTTACAAACATCCCTGATGGATGGGATTTCGAGACAGTCCTTACAGACGTAGAGTCGGACTTTGTCTATAATGGGTCTTATGATGTCTATTACGATTACTGGATAGCCCAGATGTGGAACGCTCTTCGCACGTTGAGGGCAATGCTCAATGAGCAAGTACGGAATACGCTTCTCGCAGGCTTCTCATCCAAGCCTCCATGTTTCACAGAACCGCAATACACAGCCCAGTTTCAGATATCGACAGAACTTTTGTACCAAGTTCAAGACGATATTCTCCGGACTGTTGTCCAGCATATGGGTGGGCCACTTGGCAGAGATCATAATCCACAACACCGAGATACAACCATAGACACCTCACCACCTACACCAATGTCTGCAGGAACATTCCTAATGGTAAGTCAAATTTTGCCCCTATCACACGAGTTCTTGACATGTCTCAAGAGCTTGCTTCTCTACTCTTGGGGGAAAATCAAGCAAAGGCTATTCTAATTCGTTGGACAGTGGCCGCTTTGGTTTGCCGGCATAATGCACACATCCAACGAGCAAAAACGCGCGTTCGTTGCTAAGAATCTGCATGCCATCGCCGATAATCTGGGAATCCAACAAGCACACGTCCTAGCGAGGAGCGTCGAGCAACAAACAGACCTGGGAGTTTTGCGAGATAGGAACGAGACATGAACAGGTGTTCCGATACATGATTAATACAGTACTGCGATAATAGCAGTCATCAAAGTCTACTCGCCGATGAGCGCCCCCACATGCACGGTTCAGAGCGTCGTCGGAAAAAGGGAACGAGGCAGCTTTATTTTTCAACCACGGGCTATCTCTGAACAGTTCATCACACCTGACGCAATCCAGGCTGCAGAGGGTTTTCAAATCCGGCGCCCCCACTGAATCTACCTCCCCGCCATCACGCAATAAGCCACCACCTCCACATCCCGCTCCAGCTTCGACACGAAACTCCACCGTGGGGGACACAATTTATATTTCTCATTCCATTTACGAGGAGGCTCTGAATCGGAATATACGGATGGATTCATCCGTAAAGCCAATCCTTTCTCGAAGGTGGAGTTTTGGAGTGAGCAGGGAATTTTCAATATACCCAAGTACTTTCTATGTTTTCAGCAAGGCGTTGATATACATAGATCCAGAATAGCAAAGAATAAGATAGAACCATATACTCAGACACGCGACCCGCGATCCGCGATCCTTTGTCTACAAAGACAGGGCAGGGCGTGTGCAGTTAGTTGTAGGTGAGGTGAGCAACCAATGCCTTGATAGTTAGTTTTTGCACAATAAATAATACACTTACACTGCTGATTTTTGAAGTCCGCGCTGCAAATTGCATCTTAAATCGCTAGACAACCAGAAGCGCTGAATAGCAATGTATTCTATCGCTGTTACTACGTTTGGAAGTGGTTCATTCAGCGAAGCCCTCCATCTATCGACCCCGCAAACACCGACTCCTCTACATCTAATCCAAAGCCACTAAATCCTCACCCTCACCGTAACACCGCCGTCACCATCTAAATCGGCTCGTCCCTCGGCTCAATCAACACCTCATTAACAGCCACATGCTCCGGCTGCATCAACGCATAAACAACGGCCCTCGCCACATCATCCGCATCCAGAACCCTCGCCCCACTCGGCTCCCCAAACTTCTTCAGCGCCTCGGCATCCGTACTCATGCCCAACAATTCCGTCGCCGTATTCCCCGGCTGCATGCTCGTGACCCTTAGCCCGGACCCGGCCGTCTCGAGCCGCAGTGCCTGCAGCGTCGCTTCCACGAAAAACTTGCTGGCCGAATAGACGCCCAGCCCGGGGAACACCTTGCGGCCTGCGTCCGAAGAGATGGCGACGATGTGGCCTTTTCCGCGTGCGAGCATGGGCGGGACCGTGGCGGAGAGCATGTGGAGTAGGCCTTTGCAGTTTACGTCGACGGTGCGGTCCCACTCCTCTGTCTGCACATTCGCCATCATGGTGAAGTACATGACGCCCGCACATGACACGACGATGTCGATGGGCCCAAGCTGCTGCGTGGTGGCGTGGAAAAGGGAGTCGACGTCGGACTTTGAGGTTACGTCTGTTTTGTGGATGAGCACTTTGCTGCCGTGCGTGTGGGTGTGGAGTGCGAGTTTCGCCTTGAGCGTTTCGAGCGCGTCGGTGCGTCGTGCTGCGAGGGCGATGTGTGCTCCTTCTCTTGCTAGTTGCGTTGCTACTGCGGCGCCGATGCCGGATGACGCGCCTGTTACTACTGCGACGAGTCCGCTCAAGGGACCCTTTTTGATGGGCTGTGCCGACGACGTGGTGGATTGGTTTCGTCGTGGAGGTTGTGTGAGCCAGCCTCGACCGCACCAGTGGCGAGCATAGGTCTCGAGAAGGTTGCGGTCGATTTTGGGGCGTTCGATGCCGGAGAGTGCCGGTTTGGTCGCCGTGTCGTTGAGTACGGTGATGCGCTTTAGGAAATCGACTTCGGGCATGCCGCCGCGAAGGACTGCGGGGGATAAGGAGTTAACATGTACGAATTCAGGCATATCTTGCGGAGAGGTTCATTGTGGAAGACTTACTATCAGCAGTGAAAGCCCCAGCGCCCCTCTTAGCCGAGCCCCTTTTCTCAGACCAAAGCGCCACCCACTCATCCCATCCAAGTCGTTCCGTTGGATATCCAAGCTCTTTCAAATCGTCGAAAAGTCCATTAGTGTTTACAGGGTTGGAATCGCCAACATGAAACACTCGTTGTTTGGTGTGGATATTGTTAGAAAGGGTAGTGATGGCCCTGCTGACGAAATCGACTGGTGTCATCTCAGCTCGCCATCCTTCAATATCCGGTGCATATCCAATATGTAACGACTCCACGATGATAGCCATGAATAAATCCCAAGCGTTGGCTGCGCCTGTAGTACTGTGACCACTGATGGTGCCGAGTCGTATTATCCTCACTGGCATGCCGCGAGCACTTGCTTCGTAGGCGAGCTTTTCCGCCACCCACTTCGTTTGACCGTAGCCATCTACCAGTTTCCCTGGCACGTCTTCGACGTCAATCATTGCGTCTTCAGACCAGGCTTCGTCAGATGGCGGCAATACACCGTTGGTAGAAACATATTGAACCGTCGCCCCACTGTGGCTTGCCAGACGCAGAATCTCTCTCGTGCCGCCCACATTAGCATCTCGCAGCGCCGCATAAGGATATACAAGATTCACAGTAGCTCCAGCGTGGATAATAACTTGGACACGGCTCACAAGATGTTCATAAGCATCTGGCGAAAGGCCGAGCCGTTTCCGACTAAGAGTCCCAGGAATGACTTCTATGCGATCTAGAATCCTATCATTCCAGAGGCCATGGTCAAGAAGATTTTTACGTATCCTCGCTACTGCAGCAGCTCGATCTTCTTCCGTTGGGTCGTCAAAACGCACGAGACAGATAATGCGGGCCGCCGTGGTCTCCAGAAGGTCGCTGAGCAAAAATGCACCCAGGAAGCCGGTTGTACCTGTCACCAAGACGGTATCAGCATCATTAAGTGCACGCCACGAGGCACCAGTTTTAGAAGGCTGTATATCTTCGGGGAGAATAGAATCGGCGCGTAAGATAGAGGGCAATTCTGCTTGTACGGCGGCAGTACGTCCATCACGAGCAGAGCGTAACACTTCTAAATGTCCCTCAAGAGTCGGATTTACAGCAAGCTGGCCTAGGGGGACGGGAAAGCCGTAGTTCCTTGACATCCTCGTAGCAAGATCTGCAAGTGTCAAGGAGTGACCACCTAGGTCGAAGAAGCTATGTTGCTGCGTTACGGTACTGACCGGCGTGTTGAGAGACGCGGCCCAAAGTTCGGCAATGCCCTTTGTAGTAATTTCTGTGTCGGACTCTTTCTTGGTCACGCGACTCGCGGCAATTCGTTGCTTGGCGTTTACAGGTGAAGGAAGGCGTTTGAGATCAACCTTTCCTGAGACTTCGTGGGTAGGTAGCTCTTCAAGCTCGACCCAAAGAGCAGGAATCATGTACTGTGCCAGGCCTGCAGAAAGTGTTTGCCGTGCGACTGGACTATATCCGTGCCCGTCAATAACCAGATCCGTTCGATCTCCGGGATCCTCTTTGTCGCGGACCACATATGCAACAACCTGTCGCTCCAGACCATCACCATAGACAGTTACAGCGCATTGGCTGACAGCTAATTGCTTGACGATTGCATTCTCAATCTTACCAGGAACGATGGAATAGCCGCGAACTTTGATCATAGCTCCAACGCGTCCCGTGATCTCCAGGAGGCCTCCTGGGAGCATTCTTGCCAGATCTCCCGTTCTATACATTTTGGCTCCGGGAGTTTTGTCAAAGGGGTCCGGTGAGAAGGCTTTGGCAGTGCTTTCCGGAAGATTGAGATATCCGCGAGCGAGAAGAGAGCCACCGACAAACAGCTCTCCACTAATACCGGGTTCAAGTTTCTCGCCGCTCTCGTTGAGAATATACATGTGCTCAGGATCAACCGACGGCCCGACGGGACAGTAAATAGAATCTTTGTCCAAGATTTCCCGGATATCTCCACAGGCAACTTCATGTGTCTCGCTCGCGCTGTAGACGTTCAGTAAGCGGGTATTAGGAAGGGCTTTCATAGCTCTCTGAGCTAAATCTGTGGTGACAACTTCACCATTAAGCCACAAGGTGCGAAGATCTGGGAGGTATTTGCCGATGCGCTGATTCCGGGACAGTGCTGCGGCTAGGAGCGTAGGAGTCATGAGAGTCTCGGTTATGCGTTTGGAGGAAAGCAGGTCTACAAGCGCAACAGGATCGTAGCTTGCCTCATCCGGGACAGCGTAAACGGTCGCGCCCCTCAGAAGCGGGCGTAATATTTCCCAGATGAAGAAAACATTGCAAGCAACACGGTCCCCAGGGCCAATATCACTGACTCGGAATCTCAAGTCATATGATAGTACCGGTGCTCTCTGCGGGTTTGCAATCCCTTTGGGTTTGCCCGTAGTTCCAGAAGAGTATGACACAAAGGCAAGTTTTTCCAGATCATTCTCGTCCGGCAACGAATAGGCCTCCTCTGCGTGACCATTAGACCCATTGACGCCTGTCCGAGGTTCGTCGAGAACGATCAATGGGACGTCCGCCTTGATTTTTCCAGCTTGGGCAGTACTTGTTATTACAACCGCTGGCCTGGCATCATCGAGGACATCGGCTAGGAGTCCTGGAGGATACGCCAGTTCAAGGACCAGAAAAGCCCCCCCTGCACGCAGGGCTGCGAGACAAGCAATCACATAGTCAGCGCTGCGTCCCAAGAGCACGCCGACGAGAACATCTCGACTGACTTTGTGGGCACGCAAGCGACGGGCGAGGGCATCGACCTCTTTGTCCAGCTCGGCGTAAGTCAGTGTCGTTGTCTCATCTTCTAAAGCAATGGCATCTGGGGTAGCCCGAATTTGTTGAGACACGAGCGCGGTCAAGTCCTTGTTGATATCAAGAATGGGCATTTTTCGAGCCTGATCAAACATTAATTTGGATGATTGAGTATTCTTGCGAGATGCTTCTTCGTTGCCATTCACAGAATTCCCTCTTTCTAATGTTTGGCCGTTGTGCTGATTGTTGACTTGGACTGAAGGTTCCTCCGCTACGACACTATTTTCTATAGCTTCACCGCCAGTTGCCGGGTGATTATCGGACTTGGATAAGATATGGAGATGCGAGAGCAGAGAATGCAATGCGATATTATTTATATAAAAAATGGACAAAGTGCGAAGTTCTAAACGCAGCTTCTGAACCCAGTAAGGTAATTATGAATAGGTCATTCGTGGGGGTGGTACAACCCAAACATTGCGTGCGCTGCAGGCTGCAGCTAGTCTGAAAAGCTGTTTTGGTGGCGGTGGAGTCTAGCCCTATCTGCAGCGTACTCCTGATTTTAAGTGGGTCTCGAATAAGAAATCATACAATTACAGTATGGAGACGGGACAGGTAAGTTGGACGGGAGAAAAGTGGGGGAGTTACCCCAACATATATATCACGGTATTATGCAAGATGGGGATTGGAATTTGACTTTGATTTTGGCTATGGGATTCTATAACAACCTTTTACGATTACAACGCCGATAACCTAATGAGCAGCAATATCATTCGTGCCATTGGCACGATTTATCTGGTGATCTCCCTTTGTGGGGGCACCATTGTTACCACTGGCTCTAATCGAAGCACGGCTCATCCCGTTCGCAGCCCTATTGCCACTATCCTTCGCCATGCCGTTGTGCGTGCCATTGAAGGTCAAGCCAGAAATACCATCATATCCCTTCACACCAGTGGCCTTCTCTAGACGTGACGCAAGATCTTCAGACACTTCGCGGAAGATGGCGATCTGGCGCTTGATGATCTCCTCCTTCTTGCAGTTGGCCATGTGGCCGGAGATGTTGTGGATGAAGCGTTCCTTGGCTTTGTCATCGAAGACCTTCTCCCACAGCGCACGGGGGGCATTGAAATCCTCCGGGCGGATCTCGGATAGGAAGGTAATGGCGTCGCTGGTGAACTGGCCGTGGACCTTGTCGAGATTAGTCTTCCGCTCGTGGAAATGGATGGGCTCGATCGAGGAAATGTAGTTTGGTCTTGCTCCTTGGTTGTTGAAGGCCATGGCGCCGTCGCGCTGGAAGTTCGCCATGCGGTAGTTGGGACGGGGTGCGTTGATAGGCAATTGCTGGTAGTTTACGCCGATGCGATGACGGTGGGTATCAGCGTAAGAAAAAAGCCTGGACTGAAGTACTGGATCGGCGGAGGGCTCGATACCTGGTACATAATGTGACGGATTGAATGCAGCCTGTTCGATTTCTGCAAAGTAGTTGACTGCATTCTCGTTAAGAGTGTACTCTCCGATCTCTCGGAGAGGGAATTGCTTGTGTGGCCAGACGTGAGTAAGATCAAATATGTTGATTCTCTGCTTTTCCCATAACTCTTCAGCTTCTTTTGCAGTCATGGTCTGCACTTCAAGAGTCCATGATGGGAAGTCGCCACTTTCAATCGCGCCGTACAAGTCTTTTTGCGAGTAGTCCGGACCCTTCTCAGCAGCCTGTTCTTGAGTCAAGAACTTGGTTCCCTGCTTGCTTTTCATGTGAAATTGAGCGTAAACCCACTCGCTGGTCTTGTTGACAAGCTTCGTCGTGTGGCCATAGTAGCCGTGCATATGGCGATAGCCATCTGGAATACCTCTGTCGCCCATGAGAATCATGACCTGGTGAACCGACTCGGGATTCTGAGAAAGATAATCCCAAAACATTGTCGAGTCGTCGGCGTGGGTCAGATGTGTCGAAGGGTCCCGCTTCTGTGTATGGATGAAGTAGGGAAACTTGGCTGGATCTCTTAAAAAGAAGACTGGAGTGTTATTGGCGACCAAGTCCCAGTTCCCTTCATCGGTTCTGAACTATCGACGAATTAGCAGGAGTAAAGGTGGAGTTGATTAGTAGCTAATAACTCGAGAGTTATTTCAATAGTCAAATCCCACATGCTATGGAACACTTTGGCTGATGAGACAGATCTCAGCTCTGAAAGTGCTCACACAGAAAAGTAGGTTTTTATATTGGATTTTGCTGACCTTTACTGAGAAACCTCTTGGATCCCGAGCACAGTCGTGGGAACCGGCCTCGCCACCAACTGTCGAGAACCGGACAGTAACTGGGCATTCCTTCCCTTTCGTGAACATATCCGCAATAGAAAGGTCCTCGAGACCCTTCGTGGCTTTGAAAACACCATGGGCACCGCTGCCCTTGGCATGCACAACTCGCTCGGGGATGCGCTCACGGTCGAAGTGGGAAATCAGATCAATCAAATGGAAATCTTGCAGAAGCAATGGGCCATTTTCACCTCCACGCTGCGACTCGTATGGATGAGGCATGGGAGCACCATTACTTGTTGTGTAGACAGTGTCTTGGGATTTTGCTGATCGATCATCTTGGTAGCTGCGATATTGATCGCCGCTTGTTTTGGCAGATGTCATATTGGAATAAGATGTGTGAGTAGATCAGTATACAAAGTCAATACAGGGAAAATAATTGAGGAAAAAACAGCTTTCTTTACTTATCATGGGCCGGCCCCGCGTCTCACCTTTATTTTAATAGAATCTAAACATCATGATCTCATTGATGAGCTAACAAACAATTGCCCAATGGTGATTTGTCAACTGCAAATATGAATGCGACTGACAGCAGCGGGACGTCGAGAATATCGAGATGTCGACAAATGCATTTCTCGGTGGTTGCCACCGAGTCATTTTGATTGGAGGGAATGCGTTTGAGCCTCTTGGATTCGCAGACAAGCGCAATGGCGTCGTCATACCCGTAGATGCTACCAAATAGCTTGTGGCGACAAAGAAGTCGATGACGAGCGGTGTTTGAAATGGATTACAAAGTGTTGCGGAATCAAACAACTTTATCAAACTCGGAATTTCGAGGGATCAGTAGGTACTTTTCCCCTCTTCTCCCGCCCAGAAATGGTGGCGGGCTAGCCCAGCTTCTGGATCTTTATATCTTCACTTGAAGAACAAAGGCTTTTACTAATAATGATTTGACACAATCACATGTCAGGTCAGGTTATCAGACTTTCTTGTCGAGCATTTCCGGATTTGATCTTGGGGCATGGTAGCATCACGCCGCTGATGTCGTGGCGGAGACATATTCCGCACAGCTTGACTCCAACCAAGAGGCATGAAGCAAGGTATTTTCAACAATCTGGCGCGGTTGAGGTAGACAAAACAGAGTTTGCGGACAAATGAGTGTGAGAAGGGCCTAAGACCCCTGAAAATTGGCATAAACCTCCGCTCCATATGGGCACAATACAGGGGCTCTAGCGCTATAACGCTACTTACTATACCCATCCGCTCTGAATCCACCCCCGCATTCTACGGCAGACGCGTTTCGCCCCTCGCTTCGCCTCTCCCCTCCCCTCCTCCTCAACATTAACAAACATGCTGCTGCCATCGCCTCGCTATATCTTTCGCTCAACTCACCCTCTGCATGTGTCCAGTCCTGCTACTTCTCCATGATACCCAGATAACATTGCGCTGCGGAGGTGGGATGACTCCAGAACCCAGAAAACCTATTCCTGGCCGACGAGCAGTTTGTGATCACTGTCGAAGACGCAGTAAGTCTGTCTACCTTACCTAATACCCACCCACCGTTCCTGCCCTAGTCCCTTCAGCTAGGCCATTACTAAGGCCATACCCAATTGCCCTCAAATCGTCGTCTCCTTCTCTCTTGTTACTGTCAGGTGTTCGGCTGTTTAGAATAGTGAGCTGACCTCAATTTTAGGAATCCGATGCGATGGCGAGTTTCCTTGCCAGCAATGTCAGTATGTTGCCTTGAGCTGCAAAAGGGACCATATCCCCAAAAGGAGGGGTCCGAAAAGGGGAAGTGGCAGAGTGATAAATGAGCTTCGCACTCAAGATGGCGACGGGAAACGGCAGGGGCAGTCCACTAGTTCGAGTGGAAGCCACAGCAGTGGTCCTCCATAGTGAGTTTTCGTTCTTTCAAATTCCTTTCTTCTTGTATACACTTCACTTGCTGCCAAAAATAGCCCACCTGCCGTACTTCTACGGCGTCAGTCTCGGTGATGGCGATGTGGGTCGATATATCTCGAGAACAAAATTGGCATCACCACTTCCCAGTGCTAGTGACCGTATCGGTGGAATACTTCTAATAGCATAATACAGTATTGAACAGTGTATTCCAGACAGTGCCAATGGAAGCCTTTCGCCGACCCCTGGCAAACCGCAGTGGCATCCCATCATGTCAGACGTGGCACATCTGTCGGATGAACCTATTAGCTATCTCAGCGATCAGTATCGGCCCAACTCACCAAATTACCTTCACCTAATCCCAGTGTGTCTTGAGCTATTTACAAAACACATATATCCGATAATGCCGCTAATCCATATGCCCACGCTGAGAGCTTCTATCAATCGTCCACTGGAAATGTTTGAGAAGAACCTCGTCTACTCTCTGTGTGCTCTCACATCGACACATATGTCTGGTAAAAGCATTTCAGCCCCTGGACCTCCGTCCTGGGAAGCTACTGGGCGCTTCTTCTTGGACGAATGCATCTCAGTACGGCAGTCTTACGACTTTGTTGAGGATAAGACATTAGGTGCTGTCATTTCTTCATACTTCCTCTCGACGGCGTCCTTCGAACTCAATCAATCCCGAAAATCTTGGTACTATTTGAGAGAAGCTTTAACTATGGGCCAAGACCTTGGTCTGCACGACGAAAAATTGTATGTTGGATTACCTGATGCTGAAGCGCTTTGCCGGAGAAGAACATTTTGGATTCTATACGTTACCGAAAGGTTTGCTTGCTCTTGCAATATCCAGACACAATCTAATTGGTCATAGGTCTTTTGCTATTTTACGACACAAACCTCTCACTCTGACGAAAACTCCTGGATTTCCAAGCACACTACATGAGTACGAAGCACCTGAAATTCACTCCGGTTTCATGCATTTAGTACATTCGTACCATCTTCTCGACTCTTCCTTCGTCGACTCGTGGAATGAATCCTCAGACGCTCCTGCCTCAACATTGACATATACAGCTCTCCAACAAAAGCTCAATTTACCACACCCCTCCGATGTGTCTCTCACCGACATCCAGAAAGCCGACATTCTCGTTACCCAGCAATGGCTTCGACTCGTTGTTTGGCAGTCATCCATGCGGCAAGGGTTGCTTTCATGGCATGCCGAACACGAAAGCATGACCTTTTGCTATCCTCTCAAGATCGCATATTCCCTCCTAAGTATCATTTCCTCGCTGCCCACGACGAGCATAGAAGTACATGGCATGGGAATATTTGAGAAGATATTCGAAATTGGGAATACGATGTTAGATATCACACAAACCTGCGGATCGACAATACCAAGCGGGAGCTACGGGGTGGTCCAAGATCCCCTTGAGATGTTTGTCAAGACCCTGAGCCAGACTCCAAACTCTCAACGGCAATATGCCAATATCCTGCTAGCGAAAGCAGCCGAGAAACCGCAAATCCAGAGGTTTTCACAGATGTCGCACCCGGTGTTGACAGACCAACCCATGATCTCTATAACTACGCCATATGCTGTGAACCCTCAAACTGAATTGAGTCGCGATGGTCTACTGGTGCCGCCGGTCTCACCACGACCGTGGAGAGGTAGCATTGTAGGTGAGATTGGCGATGATGGTGTTTATAAAGCTGTTGAAACTGTTGAAGACGATGGAAATCAATGGGGGAACTTTGTTTGGGTTCCTGGTACAAGTGACGGGGCTGATTCATTAGACACGATGTATACGTACAAATTAGAGTCATGAGTATTTTCTATTCTTTTGAACTTTGCAGGATCGATTACCTGATGAGTGTTTTCTCTTGGAAGTTCAATTTAGTTTTGTTTAGTTTTGTTTAACGCCGAGGGGGAGAGACCGAAGGTCTCCTCCAAGCCTCCCAGGGGGCATTGGGGCGTGACTGGCTAGGTATTTACAAGTGTATACACCAAACCCGGGAGCCAAAATTCAGCCATATAGGCGCCGGGCAAGTGCCCTTCCAGCCAATTTTCTCCCTCCACCAATTTGAAGGAGATATTTGTACAGTAATTTTCTCGCAAAGAAATAGTCAGGTGATAGGTAGGTCTTGGAAGTTTAAAGAGCGACGAATGGTCGGTTTTTGTTGCTCCATGATCAGTCATTTCACAAAATTGTATCTAGATATCTTGATACATGAAATGCATCGTGCGGTCTTTGTGCTGTACGAATGCGTCCGACAGCAAGAATATCGAAAGGAGTGTAAAACTCTATGGGGCCATGACGTCTACTGGCAAGCCGCCGCCCAGGCGATTGAGAAGAGCGTGGTACTGGGTTGGCACCCGAAGCTTTATAGATGCGCAAGCTTGGTTGGCGATTTGTGCAGCCGGGGTAGCAATCTACCAAACGTGGCTGTACTTCGTTCATTGGATCTTGATGTCGCCGAGATTAAAAGTGAGCAGACAAGGGTAAGGCGAACCGAAGCCTTTGAACGAATTGAGTACCAAGGAACTTATAACATCATAAATCCAGAAACGTACGAGGATATCAAGAAGTGGTTTGACTTCTTCAACGATGTGTATTTTGCCGGTCTGCTCACCGGCCTATGCCGAATCGCGTTCGTCAAGGAAAAGGACGAAGACACGAAGCTACCTTGGTTTCGTCGCCGTGTCGGGCTATGTACACACGTCTATCCGCGGGAAAAGTGGGACCTTGAGTTCAGAGACCAAACGCCCTTCTGTCAAATCGATCTAACAATATGCCATACCATCCATCCTCTTGAGCGGATCCGGTTATACCTGCAGACACTCCTCCACGAGATGCTGCACGCGATGTTCCGTCTCTATCAATGCAGGTGCGACAGCGGCTGCAAGAGGAATCATGAAGCACAGAGAGCCCTCGGGAGTAGAGGGCACCATGAGTCCTGGCACAGGGCTGCAATGTGCATTGAGAAAAGTAGCTATCTGGTACTCGGATGGCGAGGTATGGATCTCAACCGGCATGGGGCAATGGCTGCCGAGATATACAATGGGCGCTTGTTTCCAAGTGATGAGGTTCTTTCATCTCTGCAATTGGATAAGACAAAGGTTCAACGGCAATACGAGCAACAAGGGAAAAAAGCGGCACAGGCTTCTAGTGCGGACAAATCCGACGACAAAAGCGTCAAATGGCTGAAGTCAAACAGATCCATCCTCAAATACGGAATCAAGTAGTTCTGACAGTTGAGCAAGATGGTGTTTTTATTGATTTTAGAGACAAGCAACAAGAACCCGCGAGTTTGCTAAGCAGATTTTGAACGGTTATGCCATTTAGAATTTAGATCAAATCAAATGCATTGTTATCTCTTCAAACGAATAGACCAGATATCACTTCAGCTTCAAGGCTTTTGATAAGGGTACCAGTGTCTGGACTTGCTCTCGAGGGGCACTTTCCTCATGAATTGCTCGTAGAATAAGAAGCATTCTGGCACACCTTCCTGGGTTTCCTTGCCCTACTTGAGAAAGTGATATGCTGAATCATGTCTTCTTCGTCTGACCCGCAGGTATTTCCGGAATGGGAGTCTTGCTCGTGATTGTATAGGACGATTTTGTGAATCAGCCGGATCCCTACTTCTGTCTATGTGGCTTGGTTGGTTATTGGATGAAGCATTCACACGCGAGTTTGGTATGATTAACTAGTACCTGGTGAATAGCATCAGGTTTGTAACTTTGCTTCTATAAAGGCTCTTCCTTTGCTGGCTTTGAGTTCCGTAGCCAGACTTCAAGTTTGGTAGCCATGGTCAATTTCGAGGACCTCCATATCACAAAGCCTATTGCACGTAAAGAATTTGAGCTTGGTCGTCTGGGGTTATCAGATCACAACGAAGATGAGATCTCAAAAGCTATCGTTGAAAATGTGCGTCGGCTCTCCAGTCAGCATGAAATGACGGCAAGACAGAAACGTGCACTGTCGCGGTTCAAGTATGATGGGTCCTGTAAGTATATTAAAGAGACAGCCCCTCTGGTTTGGAATACATTACCTGAACTTCCCAGGAACTCTAGCACCAAAGCTCAGAAGCTGACATGATCTTTCAGTCAATATCGGCCAACCCTGGAACTATGAAGACACGAAGAAGTTCTTCGAGATCTTCAACGATATGTTCTTCGGTGGCCTCCTAAGCCTCTGCAGACTCCAACTCGGCAAAGCCGAGAGCTATGAATACAGTTGCGATCAAATTATCCTAAAAGAAGAAATAGGCCCGAGGTCCAAGCGCGCATATCTCACGGCCACCATTCATATCATCACTGATCAGAACGCGAAGAAGGATGTTTTTACCACCATCCAAAACTCTTTAGACACACTACTCCACAAACAATTGCACGCGGTTATCCATCTTCAAACGTGCCTATGTGAAAAAGGCTGTTGGGATAAGATAGACTATGAAAAAAAGAGCCATGGGGTTGAGTGGCTTGCTGCTGCGCTGGCTATTGAGCGTGCAGCGACTCCTTTACTCGGCTGGCCTGTGAAGCTGTATAGGAATCAACGCTTGGCGAGTGATATACATTTTTTGGGCTACAGGATGCCGAATGACGCTCTTCTGAGGGCATTGGATCTAGATGCCAAATACATTCTGAGCACCGTGGACTGGTACAGAGTGCACTCTGATGAAGAGGCCAACGAGCATAGGGTGCACCTTCCGTTGAAGAAGAATAGATGTCTGAGGGACACGTGGACGGTGGATGGTTGGGGCGAGAAGGGGTTTCAGAACAATGAGTGGTTGCTGTGGTGAGCCTTTTTCTGATGTGGTTTCGGTGGAGGACTTTTTTATTGTGTGAAAGTCCGCACTCGACAGGCTTTCAGCGCGACAAATCATGGCATATACTGATGCACAGAGGAGTCGCGGGTTTGAGTACGAGGGGTTGAGATAAACGTTGAATTACGATCTGAGATACTCATATGAAACTACTTGGATTCATAGACTTGCAAAAGAGTGGCGTGAATTTTAATTTTTCAGTGATATAATAACTTATTGAAATAGTATGACTGAAGCTCTCCAACAGAAACTGCGGTGGTTGGTTGGGACATCCGCAAGATTCAGCTTTTCTGCCACACTCACTTTAACTTGAAGTGAAGGCTGTGAGCGGGCGGCGAAGTGCAACAAATGTGAAATTTCTCTTTTAGGCACTGAAGAGTGGCAGAAACAAGTATTTAGTGAACTCGAAGCGCGGTGAAAGTGGCAGAATAAGGTGGTAAACAGTGGCAGAAAAGTGGGCGGTATAGAATAGCAGTATCATTCCACTTTTGAAGACATCCCATTAAGCATTCAAAGAGGCTTTAAATACTTCAAACCCACTTAGTATTGAGATGCTAGAACAGAACTAACCTGTGAGAGAAGACATGAGACTAAAATATAAATATGGTTGTTAGAACACAATTACAAAAGCCTCACTCCCGCAGAGAGATCTTGATACATTTGCGGCGCGCACTGGGAAAATCAAAGCCAAATATAGGCAAAAGTTGCTATTAGGAAACACAATATATTCTGTTGTAGGTAACCTTTCCAACTCATGGGCAACATTAGAGCTTCAAGAGTGAGACGTGAAGATATACGGAGGAAATGTAAAAACGGAAAGGGACCACCAATTTCTATTTTGGGATAGCCTTTCACGTGATCTACTGCTAGATGACGACCCGATTGAAGCTTCCTTCCTTAAACATCTCGACCTTCAAGCTCCTACCCCTCCACCAATACCTCGACAGGCTTCGAAAATCCATCGTGGAAGAGCCAACACACTCTTTGTAGCCATGGCGCCAGCACAGGACACCATGTTCCGGTCTGCGGACATGAGCATGGTCCAACTTTACGTCGCCAGAGAAATAGGCCGCGAGATTGTAAATGCATTAGGAGAGCTTGGACAGATTCAGTTTCGAGATGTATGTCCCTCCTCGAGGGAACCAAGGGGAATTGTTACTGATGCTCTTGATAGCTTAATTCGGACACAACTGCTTTTCAGCGAACGTTTACTCAGGAGATACGAAGACTTGATAATGTTGAGAGGCAACTGCGTATGTGCTGTGAAGATATTTGAGGCTTATGTACTGATACAATATAGGATACTTTCATGGACAGATGGAAAAGGCCGGTATTCCTCTACGCAAGATCGATTTCGACGTCGACACCTTAGCAGCACCCTCTACCTCCGAGATTGACGAACTCTCCGATCGAAGCCAGAGCCTCGAAGAGCGCATAGCACGCTTGAACGACAGCTATGAGACGTTGAAGAAGAGAGAGGTTGAATTGACTGAATGGAGATGGGTTTTGAGGGAAGCGGGAGGATTCTTCGACAGAGCTTATGGAAACGTGGAGGATATCCGCGCCTCAAGCGATAACGATGATGCACCATTGCTCCAGGATGTCGAACAACATGCCCAAGGCCAGAATGGAGATGCAGAGCGTTCACTGACCGGCATGAATATCGAATTTGTGGCAGGGGTCATTCCTAGGGACCGTACCGCAGCTTTCGAGCGTATCTTGTGGCGTACTCTGCGAGGAAATCTCTACATGAACCAGTCCGAGATCCCCGAAGCACTCGTCGACCCCACAAATAACGAGTCTATCAACAAGAACGTCTTTGTTATTTTCGCGCATGGAAAGGAGCTTATTGCAAAGATTCGCAAGATCTCCGAGTCTCTTGGTGCAGACTTGTACGGCGTGGATGAGAACCTTAATCTCCGTCGTGAACAGATCCTGGAGGTCAACAATCGTCTCGGTGATCTCGGCAGCGTCCTTCAAAACACCAAGACTACTCTCGATGCAGAGCTCACCCAGATCGCACAAAGCTTGGCTGCTTGGATGGTCATTGTTAAGAAGGAGAAGGCTGTTTACCAGACCCTGAACCTCTTTTCATATGATCAAGCTCGGAAGACCTTGATCGCCGAGGCCTGGTGTCCATCAAATTCCCTTCCTTTGATCAAGTCGACTCTCCACGATGTGAACAACAGGGCTGGACTATCTGTGCCCTCGATCATCAACGAAATTCGCACGAACAAGACCCCGCCAACATACCAGAAGACGAACAGATTTACCGAAGGTTTCCAGACCATTATTAATGCCTATGGAACTGCGAAATACCAGGAAGTCAACCCTGGGCTGCCTACTATCGTTACCTTCCCATTTTTATTCGCTGTTATGTTTGGTGATTTAGGACATGGCTTCCTAATGGTCTGTGCTGCCGCCGCCATGATTTACTGGGAGAAACCACTTAAGAAGGTCCGCGACGAACTGTTCACAATGGCCTTTTATGGACGATACATCATGCTTATGATGGGTATTTTCTCCATGTACACTGGCTTCATCTACAACGACGTGTTTTCAAAATCTCTGTCCATCTTCCCCAGTGCGTGGGAGTGGGATATTCCCGATGGTTGGAAAGAAGGCGACGTGCTATTGGGAAAGCTGAAGGGCGATTACCGATATCCGATTGGATTGGACTGGATGTGGCACGACACTGAGAACGATCTCTTGTTCTCCAACAGTTTCAAGATGAAGCTTAGTATCTTGATGGGATGGGTTCACATGACCTACTCATTGTGCTTATCTTACATCAACGCGCGCCACTTCAAGACGCCAATTGATATTTGGGGTGTTTTCATCCCTGGAATGATTTTCTTCCAGTCTATCTTCGGCTACCTTGTCTTCGCCATCGTCTACAAATGGTGTGTTGACTGGTATGCTATTGGTGAATCACCACCTGGGCTTTTGAACATGCTGATTTACATGTTCCTGTCGCCTGGTACTGTTGAAGAACCTCTATACCGTGGCCAGGGTCCTATCCAGGTATTCCTTGTTCTGCTTGCTGTTATTCAGGTGCCCATATTGCTTTTCTTGAAGCCATTTTATCTCAGATGGGAACACAACCGAGCTCGTGCGCAAGGGTACAGGGGCATTGGTGAAACCTCGCGAGTCAGCGCTCTTGATGCCGATGATGACGATAGCAATACTCTGGATGGTAGAGCAAGTCTCAACAGTGATAGCGAAGGCGTTGCTATGATCACACAAGATATTGGTGGTGATGACGAGGAACATGAGGAATTCGAGTTCTCTGAGGTTATGATTCACCAAGTCATCCACACTATTGGTTTGTATTCTCCCTATCATCCCTGACAATTCACGCTGACCTGGTTTAGAATTCTGTCTGAATTGTGTATCCCACACAGCTTCTTATCTTCGTCTCTGGGCCTTGTCACTAGCACATCAACAACTCTCAGTCGTTCTGTGGTCCATGACCATGGCCATCGGTCTCGGCACTACCGGTCCTCTGGGAGTATTTATGCTCGTTGTTGTATTCTTCGCCTGGTTCTTCCTGACCATTGCAGTATTGGTGGTGATGGAGGGAACCAGTGCCATGTTGCACAGTCTACGCCTGCACTGGGTGGAGGCAATGAGCAAGCATTTCATGGGTGATGGAATACCTTTCGAGCCATTTTCATTCAAGACGATGTTGGAGGAGGACGAGTCAGCTGCTGATATTAGCTAGACTTATGTTACGGTCCCTGAATTGACTTCCTTTGTACCCCCACTCCAATAGCATAGAGCAATCAAGCAACCTGTAGATTAGTATGACCAACGTATTGTGGTAAAAGATCGGAGCAGCCGTGCTGTAACGCGTAACAAGGAAGCTGAGGCCGTTTAATATAGGACTTTATGTTCGATGTGTTTCAATCTCCTGATACATGGCTATAATCACCCTGTCTGAGGCGGGCGGGTACTGCGGCAACATGATAGCGGGAATTAAAAATACCTACCCAGTCAATAGCTCTCTTTATCGAAAGGCATAGGTAAGGTGAGGGACTGTAGATTATAAAAGTGACACTATTATAAGATATAACAACATCTATTCAACGTCAAAACGTCTAGAACAGAGGACCAATCTATATATATCATCTGGATTCATCGATCTCGTACAGTACGTAACTCTCCTGGTGCCGATCTTGATGCATTCATTCATGCAGGAGCGACATGCGCAATCAAATGCCGCGAATGGATTGTTGAATCAAATCAGTATCGTCAGTTGGTATGATTCGCCGGGCGTGGGCGTCTAGAACTTCGGGATTTCCGTGCATATTGCCCGGGATGTACATGCATGAGCCCTGCAGGAAGCCAGCAACCAAGCTTTCTGCCCTTCCCCTCTCTGTCGCAACCTGTCACGGGCGGATGTTCCCGCGCGTTGCCTCTTCGGGACGCTGCGTTGGTTATCGACAGCGATAAAACTTGTATCGTATTCCTCACCGCTGTGGGGGTCTCGAAGGGGGGGTTCAGCACTACAAAACTCTTCTCGGCTGTCCCGTCGGTTCGTTCGTTCGTTCGTTCCTTCGTAAGTAAGTAGATTTACGTGGGATCCTTCCTTCCGTATTCCTTCTATTTCCCTCATTTCAACAGTCTACCTGTCATCATCTACATTTCCCTCCGCCTTCATAAATGCGCTGAGGACCTACTTCTTCCTGCAAGCAAAAACCACACAGTAGACGAGATACAATACATCAGCAACCATGGCTTTCAATAACCGCAAGTTCTCCATGAACCGCTCCTCGGGCGTTCCTAGAGAGTCGACGACGACCAAGATTACCAGGAGATTCAGTACCAATGAAATGAGCAACAATGGTATGTGGATTACCCCTCCATTCCCGCCTGCTTCAATGTCATTTCTTTATTCTAGCTCTAGCCCTAGATGCGTTTCAAGCGCACCTTGAGAAGTAAAGAAAGGAATCTTCTATACTGGAGATAGCCTCTTTTCCGACAATAATCAGTACAGAGACAACACTAACAATGCCCATCTTAGAAAACGACTCCAAGATCCATCGTCAATTCCGTAATGCCCACGAAGGCCACAAATCCCACGCCGGCCTTGACCCAACCCGTGCCTCTACCGGTGTAATCTGGTGTACGGAGCGCGCCTACGAGCACGGCTTCCAAGAAGAGCCAGAGAAATGGGCCAACCTAGGTCAAGGTGCCCCAGAGGTCGATGACGATATTGAGGGCTCCTTCGACCGCCCAACCACCGTCGATATCTCCATGACCGGACGAGAATATGGTCCTACGGCTGGTATTAAGAGCCTCAGAGCGGCGGTGGCAAATCTGTATAATGCGCATCATAGGGAGGGCAAGGAGAGCAAGTATAGTTGGGAGAATGTGTGTATTGTGCCGGGTGGACGTGCGGGGCTCATTCGTATTGCGGCGGTGTTGAATAATGCGTATCTGGGGTTTTTTATTCCGGATTATACGGCGTATAATGAGATGTTGTCTCTGTTCAAGAATGTGAGTCTCCTGCACCTTTCTACCTATATGGACAAGGGATAAAGGGAGCTGTGGTTGATTTGTATAGTTTGCAGCAATTCCCTCACCCCTCGCCGAATCTGATCACTACCACATCCACCCCAACAAGATCGCCGAGGAGATCGCCCGCGGAACATCCGTCATCCTGACTTCCAACCCGCGTAACCCTACTGGCAAGGTTGTCAAGAACCCCGAGCTGGCAGAGATCCAAGACATTTGCCGTGACAGAGCGACGTTGGTCATGGATGAGTTCTACGGTGGATACAACTACACCAGTGACTGCGACGGCACGACTATTTCCTCTGCTGAGAACATCGACGATGTTGATGAGGACGATGTGTTGATCATTGATGGCTTGACTAAGCGCTTCAGACTTCCCGGATGGAGAATTGCGTGGATCGTTGGTCCAAAAGTAACCTCCCCCTCCTCCCAAAATCTCACCAGACAAACCCACTAACTGACAACAGGAATTCATCAAAGCCATCGGCTCCTGTGGTTCCTACCTAGACGGTGGCGCCAACGTGCCCTTCCAAGAAGCCGCAATCCCCATGCTCGAGCCCAACAAAGTGCGCGCCGAGATGAAGGCTTTGCAAACACATTTCCGCGACAAGCGCGACTATGTCGTCAAGCGCCTCACCGAGATGGGTTTCAACATCAAGACCGTCCCGGACTCCACCTTCTACCTCTGGCTCGATCTCGAGGGACTTCCCGAGGCCATTAGCGACGGACTGAACTTCTTCCAGGCGTGTCTCGAGGAGAGGGTTATCGTTGTACCGGGTATCTTCTTTGATCTGAACCCGAGTAAGAGGAGAGATCTGTTTGATAGCCCTTGTCATCATTTTGTGCGCTTTTCGTATGGGCCGAAGATGGATACGCTGAAGATGGGCCTGGATGGTATTCAGAGAGTTGTTAATAAGTACGTTTCCCTTATCCCTTCTTCCCTTCCTTTTGCTTTCGTATAAGATGTAATGTGGGATGTGAGGCTAACACAAGTGTCATTTTAGGTTCAAGATGACTTAATTAATCAAGGCGGCACTGCATTTTATAGCATATGAGTAGATAGATGCACATATAAATACTCCGTCTCGACGCATAAGACAAACAAACTTATTTTCGGGTATGTACCTAGGAATAGAGCTCCCTCTACTTCTAGCTTGATACACATAAACACGAAGCTGTGTGCTATGCGAAGAGTCTATTCTCATAGCCTGCAATTTTTATTCTTTATAACGTGATATACCTTGAGAACTATCTTCTTTCATTTCCTTTTCTTTCCTTTACCTCTCGTCTCGTTTAGCGCTATCCGGGAAAGGAAGTGGGAGTGCTTGCAAGTTGAGTAGAGGTCTCACGCCATGTGTAGCAACCGCTTCCGAGTCTAATTCGAATGAGAAAACTTTCCTAATTCTAGAATTTGGAGAAGGTATGCATTTATTGTTCACTTGAGTTGAAATGCGGAATGCCAATTGATACATTATATAACATTTATTTAGCAGCTTGGAAAACTCCCATTCGTAGTTGGATGTCTTTTTAAAGCCTAGTGAAACTTTTCAACGCCTATAAATGACAAGCTCAAAACCTGATCTAGATCTTCTATTTCTTGACTTGCCCTTTTTTTATTATCTTTAACTTTGGCTCACCTTCTACAAGGTCTCCGAAGCCAGCCTTCTGGAATGGAACTTCTGTACCACTCTTTCATCCTTGGCATACTCCTGCTTATACTTCTCCAGCATATCTAGAGTAATATTCGAGCCACCACAGACCACAATAACAACATTTAGCTTCGAGAACTCCTCGTCGCTGACGTCCGGGAAGAGGACAGTACGCAGCGTATCGTTGTAAGCAGAAGCAAGACTTACACCGCAAGCAGCCTCAACCACAATCCGCTCATCATCCGCAAAGTAAACAGCACCCATGGCTGCCTCCGCATCACTAAATATGCAACTCGTGACCTCTTTCCTCTTTGCCCACTCAAAAGCCTGGTTTGCGACCTGCGTCGCCCCCAAACTCGTCGCAATACTCGTAATAGCACCCAGGCGACTCAACTCCCCCTTCTCTAAACTCAACGCTAGACTATGCGCCCCCTCCGTCTCAACAGCCATAACCTTGACGCCCTTCAACCCTCCCCCTTCCAAGCGTCCATGTTTCGACAACCCAGCCATAATACCAGCAAAAAGCCCGCCCCCGCCCACACTCGCAACAATAGCATCATAACCGCCGTACCCACACATCTGCCTCTCAACCTCATCAACCAACGTCCCATTCCCCTCCCAAACATCCACATGATCAAACGGCGGCACGTAAACCCCATCCTTATCCCCACCAATCAACTCTTCTCTCATATACGTATCCGCTTCGCTCCAGTGGTTGCCCACTTGCTTCACATCCGCACCTAGCGTTCGCAGCTTCGAGATCATTAGCGGAGAGGTGCTGAGCGGCACGACGATCGTGGCTGGGCGCTGCAGCGAGATGGCTGCTGTTGCGCATGCGAGTCCGGCGTTGCCGCCGGATGAACAGTAGAAGTGGATGGGGTGTGAGGGGCCATGGCGGGCTATGGCTTTGCTCATTAGGTTACCGACAGCGCGGGATTTGAAGGAGCCTGATGGTTGTAGGTTTTCAAGTTTAAGGAAGATGTTGCTGGTGGTGGGGTTAGCGGGGGTACTGGGGAAGGGGAATGGGGGGAGGGGAAGAGAACGAGGAAGAGCACTTACCATCCTGCTTCTCGGGAGAGGGCAGTTGAGCGGATGAGAGGGGTTTCGATCCAGGGTTTTGGGGGGAGGTTCGTGTTGGATCCCATGGTCACTGCTTGATATTGATCTTTTCTAGGGTTTTCAAGTGAAGAAGAGATGAACCGAGACTAATATATATGTATTAAAGAAAGAAAGAGATAGGAAAACTTTAAGATAATGGAGATATACCAAACTGTTATAGCAAACGGCACTTTTGTCAGATTATGTCAAATATGTGGCTGACAGGGCGCAAAGCGGGTAATGATGAAAAGTTCGACCAGGCGGTCGTCCTGATAAGAGGATAAGGGGCCACCAGGGCCATCTACGTGATCTTCAGGGGTAGAAAGCCGACGCCAACCGTAAAGTAACCCCTCCTTAACCCCCCCTTTTACAAAGTTATAGGGTAATCTATAGGGTAATAGTACCACTGATGCTAACTATACTCAGTATTATATTCAGAGATCTACTCAAGTAGAACCTACTGGACAATCAATGATTGGCTTTACTGACTAAGTTGGAGACTTCACCAGTCTGAAGAGGAAGTGCAACAGAGCTGTAAGTCTCTAAATCAGGGGAGACGTAAAGGATTCCCATTTTACAGCCAACGGATCCAGCATGCTCCTATCTCGTAGTCGTCATTAGTGGGGAAACGGTCACATCATGGAGTCATATGGAACCCGCAGGAGCTTTCCTGTTCTTCTCATTCGCGTGCAAGGAGTTCTGAATCGTATCTTTGGTCTCTTAGGCGCATAGTATCCATACCGCCAAGTGACTTTACCATCACGAGTGCAGTTCAATCGGGTGATGAGTTACCACTTGGTGTTGAACGCGTTTTGTATGAGATCCCAGGATGTTTGGAGGCGAGGAGATAAAGAGGGTGTAATAGAAATATGACGAAATCGTGATTTCTAAATCCTTTTGAAGTTGTGTCACAACCACAGCCAGGATCTTGACAACCCGCGGAAGCGAGATAACCTAGAGACGAGTCTGAAACGGAAGAAAGGACTTTCCAATAATAATATACAGTATTTATTACAGAGTGGTATTTGCAAAGCATGAACATCGACTTCCATCAGGTCTCAACACTTAGCGGAGGAAACAACGAGTCAAAATCATGTTTGCCGGGGGATAACTTCGGCGTCCCGTATGTATAATCGGCGTCCAATCGAGCATACTCGAAAGTCCGTCGCGACTCGTCTACGCCCATCATATCAAGAAGTTGTGCGGCTTTCGTCGGCATGTATGGCTGGAGAAGGATGCCGACGATGCGGATAGCTTCTGCGCAGTGGAAGATGGTGCGTTCTATTTTGCGCGCGTTCTTGTCTGCTTCTTGCAGCTCTTGATATTTGTCGACTAACATTGGAGAACCTCTGACGGCCCTACTTTCATTCTCGGCAACGAAATTTTGTGGTTTTATATCCTGACTCTTCGCAAGTGCCCAAGGTGCACAGTTTTGAAGGTATTTGTTCGTCTATTGCAAGATCAGTAGAGTAAGAATCAGAGCTGAATTATACGTACGAAGTAAACAGCATCCATAATAAGCTGCAATGCTGCTCCAGGATCCAGCTGCTCCATTTTGATATTGACAAGCCTGGCAAGATCACTCAACATGGCAGCCTGCTCCTTGGTGTATTTTGCGCCTCTGCGTAGTGTTCCATCTCTGGCTGCCTCAACCGCTTGCTTTACACTCCAGATCTTGGGCCTTGTGATTCTACTCACAAGATTGCCAATACCTCCCTGCAGCCCCTTCTTGTATCTCTTCACAATCAAATGATTCCCGTAATCCGAGTCATTTTTGATGCCACCGTCGTGCGCAAGATAATACCTCATCACGTCGATTCCGAACCGATCTATAGCGAAGAGTGGATTGACCACGTTGCCAGTAGATTTAGCCATCTTTTGATTCCCCAAAGTCCAGTGAGCATGGGCGAGAATCTTCTTTGGTAGTGGTATGTCCAACGCGAGGAGAAAAGCTGGCCAGTATATGCAATGAAATCGAACGATGTCTTTCCCAATAACGTGCACATCTGCTGGCCATCCTCCCGCTGACCCCTTTCCTGGCGTCCATGGATATCCCGCTTTGGTAATATAGCTGACGAGGGCATCAAGCCAGACGTAAATAGTTTGGCTGGGATCATCAGGTACCCGTATTCCCCAGCTCAGTCTTTCCACGGGACGAGATACAGAAAGATCTTCCAAGCCAGCCGAGACCCATTGGACAACATCATTCATTCGGGTCGCAGGCTCTAAAAATTCCGGATTTTCCTTGTAGAACTCAAGCAGACGGTCCTTAAAGGCAGATAATCGAAAATGGTAATTTGATTCAGAGGTCCATTCCACCTCTTTACCAGTCTCCTGGGACGCCATAAAGGTCTTCCCCGTCTGTGGATCTAGTCGTTTCTCAATCACAGATTCTGGATAATACGTCTCGTCACTGACGCAATACCACCCTTGATGTTTCGACTCATATATGTATCCCCTAGCCTTCAACATGTACCAAAAGTACTGCACCGCTTCCTTGTGATCCTCATCCGAGGTCCTCACAAAATGGTCATAGGACAGATTCGCTCGTTCCGCTAAATCCAAGAACCTCTGTGATGTTAAATCGCAGAACTCTTTCGGTGGAATATTGGCTTTGGCTGCCGCCTGTTGGATTTTCATTCCGTGTTCGTCGGTACCGGTACATAAAATGGCCTTCTTCCCTTGCAAGACCTGCCAACGTTTGAGGATGTCCGAGAGGACCATTGTGTAGAGGTGTCCGACATGAGGGGCTAGGGGCAAGCTTGTCAGTCAGCAGGTTCATGAAGGAGACATGAATGGAGAGCTACCGGCATTAACATAGAAAATCGGGGAGGTGATGTAATATGGCTTTTCCAAAGCGCGCGGAGAACTGGAAAATGATGCTCTTAAAGGGTTTTTTGTGCTGCAGGAATTGCATATCAAAGGTCCTCTCCACCAGTTCGTCACCCTGGGCCGCAATTGGCCTCGAAAGTTTGAGGGTAAACTACGAATACTCATAGTTGATATCAGACGCGTCCTAGTGTGCCTGCATTGACAAAAGGTTCATGCATTTCCTCGAGCGGAATTGCGGCCGCAAATCCCGCACAAGGCTACTATTATTACGAAATGACATCCAAAAAGAATCAATTTTCCAGAAAGTTCAACCTTCCCACATCATCGAGCATTTGCATATAAGCACGCCCCAAAAGTCATAATTCGCCTCAGTACGTCTAACATTCGGCGAATCTACACCCAAAATGACCGACATTTCTGAAAACACCGAGGTCAAAGTAGCTGTTGAAGGTAGGAAACCCCTCCATAATGTTCGTTACCTTGACTAACGCCTCTCATAGCTGCTGAAATATTTGTGAATAGTTACTACAAAACATGGAACAAGGAGAGTGGAGGCAAGGAATTGTCACATTTCTACGTAAAAGTCAATCCCGAATCTCCACTCAAACCAGATATCACCATCAACGGTAACATTGTTGTAAGTCTCACATGGTCAGAAGGATCTGTAGTATTTATTCTATTGTTCTATGCTGACTAGGATCGTTTTTAATTAATAGGAAGACCCTACAGACCTGGAAGGTTTACATCGCAGTCAGCCGTAAGTTGATTGGGAGACCCTTTCCATCCAGGCGTGTTCATGAGACATGTTTTCCTTGAATATTTCTATTCTAGGGATATCTCATCACCTAATATTTTCTCCATCAAATACCTTGAAGAAGAAATACTCATTCAGCTTGTAGGTCCAAAACCCACTACGAGGTCGAGGCATTTGATTGTCAGGTCGTCAATACCAATTTTACAGTCGGCGCTCCGGAAACTCTATTAGAAGGGAATCCAGCTGGAAAGAAGATGAGCATTCTGGTGATGGTCAGTGGGAGTGTGAAGTACGCAGAGTAAGTAATCGGAAACCCAAGCATATCATACCCTGGTCTATTCAAGATCTAGTCTGAGGTTCCCTACCGAAAATTCTGGATCAATACTGACTGCCTTGATTTTAGCGCCGAGGAAACTCGCGGATTCGTTGATAATGTGTTGCTGGTTCCTAACTGGGATATAACAAAGAAAAATGAAAAGGAGAAGAAAAAATGGCTAGTCCAGAGCCAGACCTTCAGATTGGTACTCTGAGCGTAACGTCCCTTCAAATCAAGAAGTATTTACGGATGTCTGAAACACATGTAACTACCCAGAAAAATCAGCGGTCTTTCGACAACACTGATCATATGCTGGAGGACCGAAATTACGCCAGGTCGAGGGAAGGATCGCGAAAGAAGCTTTCGGTCAAGAAATATGGTCCAGGAATACCACCAAACTCTCTACAAGAATCGATTCTTTTGAGCAAACATCACCAACCCATTTGCGAAGTCGCCCGAGCTCCGACGTGAGAGGGCTTTGGGTCTTTATGCTCAACTCTTATTATGAGATACTACTAAGCCAATGAATTGCAAGTCACTCGAGAGTAAAGCAGTATATGGAAGAAACTTACCTCTCACCAGTGTATAATAAGTGAACCTACTGGAGAAAAAACTTACTATTCACCCTTTGTTGCATTCGATTCACCCCCGATCCATGAAGCTCTTTTTACCTTCACACCACTTTTAAAGACTTGTGTTGCATTTATTCACTGGCCGTCTCCGTAAAAAGCATTGCATCTCTTTCTCGTCTTCCACTTCAGCTTCTCCCACCTTTATACTCCACCTTCATCAACACAACAGCGACCAGTCTCATCATCCTAGCCATCGACATTCTCGTTATAATATTACTTTGCCCTCGCATGGCGCCTTGCATCTAGTCCTTCAAATCATAATCTCGCGACCTAGGTTTGTGTGATCTCCACCTCGTCCTCACCTTCATATCCATTCAATTGCAGCCTGGCCTCAACTTGACTCCCAACTTCACGTCTTTACGTTGCGCAAACTTCTCTGCTGGTTGGTCTGGTCGAGCTGTGAGGTAAGCCATCAATAATCGCAACGTACTCCTTGGGTTTCTATTGACCTGTTCTAAAGCATCCCTTCCCAGTCTCATCGAAAAGCCATTGAATTCACCCATCGCCTAAAACTTTCCGTCATCATGAAGTTCAAAGCTTGCACCCTCGCAGGTGGTATCGTCAAAGGCGAGGTTCTGCTTCAGGTTGATGAGGAAGATGCGAAAGAATTCGAGCTTCCCGCTGATGGCAACAAATTCAGCTGCTACGTCTTGACCAAACCAGGCGACGCGCTTATAGCACGTTCCTCTGTAGCCTTGTCGTCTGACGTTGAAGAGTTCGTTGATGTTGTAGTTGATGGCGTTTTGCGGGCTACTTCGGTGATCAAAAAGGGAGCAGAGAAGGGCAAGAAGGCCACTGTTCACAAACCTGTGTTCGAGAAAGTCTTGTTCTATAGGTATGAGAATGGGAAGAAGAAGGGTCTCAAAGGTTTGTGCAATTCCTCTTGTATGTTTTAAGGCACCTGCTAATATCTTCAGTTGGACCGATGGAGGCCACGGCTCGCGAGAATGTCTCAGAGCTTCCTGGTACACCACTATCTACTGTCGGTACTATTCAGCTACAATTCTGGCGCAAGTATCCGGAGGACGATGCAGAATCCACTGCTGACTCTGACTCTGACTCTGCGGCCGAGACTATCAAGAGAGCGCCTAATTTCGAAGAATCCCACCGTTGGTCAGACCTGAAGCTATTAACTGAGGCCTCTGTCTCGGAGTTTGAAGTCGGGTGAGTGCTTATAAAACCCCCCCTTTTCACTATAGCTAATAGGCCTAGACTTTCTAGCGGAACTCAGAACTGGAAGGTTGCTAAGGACCGTCTGTTGGAGGAACGTGATGACTTTAAGTTCTTTGCCTCCTGTACATTCCGTCTCGTTTCATCCGAGACACTCCGCAAAATGGATCTTAGCGCCCCAACTACTACAGATCTACTTGCGGCAGACCATGTCAAATCGAAGCTAAGTCTCGAAGTATTGCAGAACCCTGAGGTTGAGGGCGACGAAATCATGGAGCAGTTCGATACTATTAATTCCAGGATCCTTAGCGGTCTTCTTCCTGAGGCTTCAAATGAATCTTTAGAAAAGAAGAAGCCTATAGTGTTAGGAGGCATGCCAGGCGGCCCTGCTAATAAGGCAGTTAAAGGCAGGGCGTTAACTGAGGAGCGACAATCTGCTCTATCCGAGAGAGAGCTTTCCATTGCTGCAATAGAACCAATTGCTAAGCCAAACAAGGAGTTTGAGGAGTATGATAGTATCTTTCAATCTATGAGAGATGACTCGCCTAAAACATCACATAGTGAGGCTATCAATGCTAATAGAAAGTCCGAATGGCTGACTGCGGGTCAAGAGCCTCTAACACCGCCTCCGTCAGCTAGGAAGCCCTATAAAGCAGCTTCACAAAAAGTCATCCTTGCTGATATCGACACTGATATAGTCAACGAGCTAAAGCGCAAATCCATTGCCATCAGCGGTAGTGACATCAGCACCCCCAACGAAACCCGAAAGCGATCAACCACCGAAGATCTCCAGCGTAGGACCCTAGCCGCCCAAGCTCGTCTCGCGGCTGCGCGCGAGGAAAAGCAGAGGCTTGTGGAGGAGACTATAGGGGCCTTGGCGTACGAGGCGGAGGGGGAGAAGGTTCTGCAGCTTGAGATGGAGGCTCTTGAGATGGAGCGGGGAAATGAAGAGGCGAAGGTAAGCAAGCAAGCAATGTTCCCGATTTTAGTAAGGGGAGGTCAGTACTAACAATCACATGCATATAGTCGAAGATTGCTACTATTTATGCTTGAATGAACCTTTGCCAGTCAGTACTGGAACAGATCAATTCATCTCAAAGTCTTTCTCCATATGAGGCATGACTGATTCATCGACATATATTTTGCTTTTCGGGGCGTTTAGAATTATTGCAAGTCTTTTCCAAGGTTAGTCAAATATGGACGGACGTGAAGGGTGGGGGAGTATGGATGGGGCGTTATCATAAGAGCACACTACGAAACCAAGCCGAAGGGGAGATCCAGCGACGACTCATTATACATAAAGATGGTGTTTAGAGCACAGAAATGATAATATTGGTATGAAAAGCTGCCCTTGAAACATTCAAGAGACGTACTATGTTCAATATGTTGTCACTCTAAACGCTCCTTTATATGCACTTCGACTTTCCCTCAGGATTTTGTTCCTCCAAACACTAAGTACTCCCCCATCATGAAATCGTAATCCCATTATATGCCTGAATTCGCAGCCATGGTAGCAACCTCAGGGGCCTTGCAGTACACCTTATGTCTCGCACTCCAATTCTTCCTCTGGCATTCCTTCCCGCAATAGAAAGCAGACTTGCATCTAGCACAGGCTTTAAGGTCCGCCTGCTTGGAGAATCGACAGGCCATCGATTCCGGGCACTGCTCAACACTAATCAGCAAATGTCTACACCGGCTAGTACACGATACGAGAAATCGAAATAGAAATATTCACATCAAAATGCGAGCAGAACATATAGTTAGGAGCGCCCTTTGTACGCCAATGAATCGCCTTTTCGAAATCCCCCTTCGTCTCAAAAAGTCGACCGAGACTGTCTCGCGTGCAAGCCGTGTCGAAGTTCTCACACTCTACTTTGCAGTCGGTAATTAATAACCAGGAGTATACCCCCCCCTAATATCAAATACATTACATACTTTCTCGTTCAAAAACAGCCTTCTCCAACTGCTCTTGCGCTTCGTCCAGCTTGCCCATCTTGATATACAGCTCCCCTAATCCGTTTCTGGTAATAGCTACAGAGACCAAGTGCTCGACGGGGCCAGCGAGCTTAATTTCGAGGGCCTCGAGGTACTTGGCTTCTGCGCCGACATAGTTGCCGGCTCGCTCGAGCTGGATGGCTTGGTTGTTGAGGGGGGCGGCTAGGATGATGTTCATAATGTCGTGTGGGATGCAGGAAATCGACAGTAGGCTGTGACAGTTTTGGATATTTTTACAAGAGTGCAATGTGCTTATAAAGGGTATGGCTGGCTGTGAGGAAACAATTCGGTCTGTGGAATTATGTTGAAGGATCGACCATGACAGGACAACCGGAAAGAGTAAGATATTCCTGGATAACGCGCACCTCACACGAATTTACGCGTCCACACGTGATATGTTCCGGTTGAACCAGAACTGATTACCCCCTCGTTTTATATCGGTTTTGCGCTTCCCGGCTTTCTCTTCTGCGATCCAACTATCGAGATCTCTATCACTTACTTTACTTTGTTAATTCCAGAATATGGCAGAACACCGAGTTGATTACACAACAAGGTTCTGAAAAGTAACCAAATTGCGAATCCCCCTATACTCTACTCTGAGCGTATATCAGTATTTTACATCACAATTCCACCCTCACAGCTAAAGACATACTCAAATAAAACCCAAGAGTTAGGAACAAACCAGAAGGAGCATCACATCACACTCCGTATCTTCGTTCTAGAACAAAGCGTAAGTCCATCATCCATGCATGGCCCGTTCCGACCCGTGCCCATCCCGTCCCGCAAATTGGTCTCGGATCACCTTGTGGCCTGTTCAGTCGACATGCAACAAAAACCAAAAAAAAACCCCCAAAGGTAAAAGCAGAGGCGATTAGACAACATCACGTGTATTTAAGGGAGTTAATTGGATGGATGGGTGATACTATACGTTATTGATGAGATCTACAGAATGTTTAGTTGCAGCCCCAAAAGTAAAAGGCGTCTTTCGCTGCGTACGAGTAAAGTAAAGTAAAGTAAAGTACGGAGTAAGCTCTTGGTTTGGAGATATAAAGTCGAAAGAAGTGAAGTGTGGAATGAATGAAGCCTTGATTTGTACGAATTACTATAAGTTTGAGTCAGTTGTATAAGAGAAGGAGTGGCTCACTCGAAATGCTCTAGGCTATGGTGATTATTCATATATAGTATAATATAATATGTTTATAGACAGATAGATAGATCAATATTGCTTTCCGAAGGTCATGTCATAATTACCCCGTCACGGATCACGATATATCCTTTTCCACATTTCTAAACGCCGACGGTCATATACTCCCTATTCTCCTGCCTACCCACGTCCAGAAAACATCAAGGCATTTTCCTCCCAAGACTCTTACACCAACGCTCCAATATCCACTTCTCAAGCAAGCCGCTACCAGAAACCCCACAATCATCTTCAACATACTCATCCCGCCAATCCGCAGCTGTCAGCTTAATCGAGCCCGCTACGCCCCTCGTCTGCGCCATGAAAAGACAAGTCTGATCGCTTGAAGACCTGACCCTCTGATCCATCTCAATCATCTCATCTGCGCATCCCTGCGTCGCGGCCTCCAACTCCGCTCTCTCGCACCGGGAAAGCGCGGCTAATAGTCGGCTTGAAATCATGATGCAGGACAGGTATGTAGCGTATACTTTACAATGACTGTCGTATTCTGTGCTCCCCGGCCGCATACCAGGATACAGTTGCAGCACTTTCGCGTATCTTGTATTCCATTTCAAAAGATTGACTCGTTGTTGACGCAGGTTGCTGGTGATGGTGTGCACGAAGCCGGGATCTGCAGACGTGGGGGAGCAGATTATGCTGGTGACGTCGACGAAGAAGCCGGGGATGAAGGCTTTGAGCATTATGAGAGAGACTGTGATTTCGCTCTGGTCAGAGATCTGGAAGCCGTTGTCAACTATTAGGGATCGGAAGAGGTTTTGCCAAGGCTTTTGCTCAAGGAAACAATGCTCGCTATTTACTAGGCATTCTGTCATCTGAAAACGGTATCAGTACTTAATGAATCTCTTACTCAAAGCCACATGATAATTGATGAGGGAGAATCTCTTACAATCGGGCCAGTGTGAGCCATGAAAAGTGCCTTTTCAAACTCCGTGTTATAATTCTTAGGGCCCCGCAGTTGTATCAATTTTGCTGCCCCAGCAGCATGTCGAATCCATGCTATCTCTCCTGAGGGGTCGAGGAGCTATACAAACAAGTCAGTAATATGGAACTTGTGACGACAGTATAAAAGAGCATACCTCGTACAAAGCTAGAATCTCCGTTGCACATAGAACCTCTGGTTTGTAGCGTTGCTTGGGATTGTCCAAGGCCTTCTGAAGACTATCCAAAGCCTTGACATAAAATGTGATAACCGCAGCCTCCCAATTCTCATGTGGAGAGATGATTTGTCGTGCTCGCGCAATGACACAATCCACGGCATCACTTAGGCAAGGGACATGGCCATAAAGACTTGGAAGGTATGACAAGTACGACCATTGCTTGCGGGATCGTAGTTGGTAGATGAGGTGGAACGGGTTTTGTGACAGAGCTGCTCTAGCGGCTCGTCCTACATGCAGTGTCGCCAAGGCTGAGAGATCGAGGATATCGAAATTGGACTTCATGCTGGTCAATTCGTAGCCTTTTGCCGACAGACTGCCAGGGAGTTTGTTGGTCAAAGTTTGCGCTAGCCAACGCTGCCGGTCGACCCCATTTCCGTTACCGTTCTTATCAGCCTTGTTTCCACTTGAACGCACAGCCTTGTGTCTCTCCTCGATATGCTTCCCTTCAGTACATGGGCCAATCGATTTCTTGCTGGCAGAGCTAGAGCTGGCAGGCTCATCGGGGCTACTGCTCTGTTGTTTGACCTCCACAGGAGTTTGCCCATTATTATTCTCTTGGTCGACAACGAAGACTGGAAGTTGTCGAAGATTGTGTTTTCCGTAGTTTCCATCTCGCCGCCGTGCTGCGGACGCCTTCTTCATAGCCTGCTTTCGGATTAAGGCACGAATTGCCAGGTCGCGGGGTACGGTGGGGGTGTGGATCGTGGAATTGACGAATTGGAATTCCATTTTCGGTTGGTTCTCTGCCATGGCTCATGGATATTGCTGGATTAGTACGTCGTATCGGAGTGAAAGGAGCAAATGCGGCTCCTGGATGCTGGCTGGGGAGCTGTTCTCGCCGCGAGTGGATGAATTAGGACGTCGGTACCCCGGCAAGGCTGCGACAAGAAGTTGAGTGATGAAAGCAATAGGATATTGGAGGACAAGACCAAAAGAACTGACAAGTAAGATAAACGGCGCAAACCTTTCAGAATGAACGATCATGATCTTCTGAACATCAGAATCAGAATCAGAACACATCATAGTATATGGCAGATGTGTGGCAAAGATAGACGACATCTCCGGCTTGCCGTTCCTGCATCAGGTCGCAGGGAATCCAAGGAACGATACGTCCGAGCGGCGAGGATATATGGAGGTAGAAAGCGCTTCTTGCCAACTTTAGTTTTAGGACAGATCAGAAGAATCTGGGGAACTGGCGGAGTCAGCCTTGAAAGTGGAATGATAACTCGAGGAAAGCTGTGGCGCAGTTTTGGGCTTCACCAATTACACCATGCAAATTGGCCTGTGGTGAGCCACGACCAGGGTACTACTCTCTTAAATAGGCATAGCGCGAATTTGACAAACCCAGCCAGGGAACAGTGATGCACGGAGATCATCTCATCTCTGTGACTTCAGCTCCTACAGTACTACAAGTAATAGGGGCACTTGTCTGTTTACTCGCAGACCTAGTCGACGTCGATATTAACTAACTCAGGGGAATAGGGATGATCATGTCCCCCTGTCCTATGGGAGTGGTGGTCCAAGTATTCCCCCCACGGAGGGTAGGTTTGGGCAGGGAAGGGCAAACGGGCATGGGAAACGGAAACGGAGAAGCTACTTGTGCGGAGAAGCTGTGGCTTTACTTACTGGCCCAATTGTCATGGACACGATTAGAAGAGGCTGCTGTATAGGTATTTCAGGTTGCGAGGCTGTACTGTACCGCTATTGGTTTACTCCGTACGGACTGCTCACTCTTGTGAGGCGCAATGTCTGTGGACATGTCGAGCCCGCTTTGAACGATACTCCCCCCCCCCCTTACTGTAATAAATGTTAAATCATGTAAAATCTCCATAAAACGTAGAATCCCATAGAACTAAATGGCTAGATATCCTAGCAAGTAGCCCACTATTCACGGCGCAAGGTACTTGTAAAGTCCTTGTAAGGTCCCACTAGGGCCTAGACATAGTGATATCATTTGCTGAATTCCCCCAGGTTTTACACGATAGGGCGAAGGATTATTAACCTTTATTAAGGGGGTGGGGAGAGTATTCTTGCCCTGTATTCATTATTCCCTTTCGCTTAAGGAAATCATGATTGTCCACCACACTGGTTCCGCCTCGCTTCTCTCTCTAAGCATCAGCCAACAGTTACTTACGCGGATTAGAGGCTTCGGTGCTTCTTATTCATTTCATAGACTCTTTGATCAATCAAAGACGTTTTGGAGAAACGCTTGTTAGGTCGGTCATGCTAGGGGTACTGACCATATGGGGTTTGGAGCATTTGGCGAGTGCGCTTGAAATCTTTGCTCTGATTTGATTATATTGCAGGGTAATCAATCTGAACGTATGGTTTTGAGCAGAGCGTAAGAGATGACATTGCCATTCTCGATGCCTCTCTTCTTGTCCGGGAGGAACTTGTAACGCAGACTTCTGGGCTGTTTCTGACTTGAAGACTGGAGGTTTAGCTCTTGTAACCCTCTGAGTAAGCTTGGCAAGAAGTGGATGAACGGCTAAGGATCGTGTGGCAGTAGCTTGTTACTCAAACTTCGGAGCGACCCTCGACTCGATTTCTCGGTAACTAGCTAGGCGTTGCCATACGAGGAGAGGTGCCGAGAGTAGCTTTTTGGGGGGTCGAGTCCAGTATAGAATGGCTGGATTCTCAATAAACAACACATTTGTCTTTACCATTCTTTCATGCATAGTACAACTTCTTACCAAAGTCGCAAACTCATCTGACCTTATAATATTGATTTTAAAACATCTAGACCTACTGTACGTACATGACCTCTCACGCCATTCTCGTTTTGTTAGAAGCGCCAGAAGCGTTCCACGAATTCGGTACCTGTTCCAAGACCGGAGATGATATAACACGGGAACACAAAGCATACGTAGAAAAGTACCCAACTGACGGCGGCTACGCAAAATCCCTCACCACATCTACTCGCTAAGCTCATAAGTATGTGTAAAACCAGGCGCAAATTCGCTGGTTGACCAATGATAGAAAACCTTGGCAAATATACCCTCGGAGTGGCTCCCACACAATTTCCATATGGCGTTCAACGGCCACGGCCATCCCCCAAACAATTGGCTCCCACTGTTTCTCCCCGACGCCTCTCCCACGCCTAGTCCCGTGCCTCGCTTGCCCATCTAATCAGATTAATCTTATCAGATCCGCGCAACCAATCGATCACGTAATAAGTGCCTCCGATCATCTCCGAGCAGCCAGTGGCATGCAGCCGTTCTCGTCCTCGGTCTACACTATAGCTGCAACTGGAAGCGCACCGGAAGGATTGCGCGTGGGTTTGTGAAGAATCGATGGTTGTAGGGCGGCAAGTGGAGAAGACTGCGTTATCTGATCATGTCTATGCGTGTGCCAAGGCGCTAAAGGTGCCAAGCCGGTGCTGGTTTTTCTCCAGAACGTGAACGTGGGCGTGGGTAGAGCTGAACAGAGCTCACTCTTGACAAACAGCTTCACACATTCCAAGCTTTAGAAGGTGCTTTGTTTAAGATGTAGCCATGTGAAGTTAATGTGCAATCGACCATGAGGAAGGTCCCTCCAGCAGCTAGCAATCTTTTCTCAACGCAACATCGACAGCCTCATGATCTGATCTAATCTAATCTAATCAGATGCTGTTTCACCCTATCAGTTAGTTCATCAGATGGTGACGAAGGCCTCCAATTCTCCCCCAAAAGGTGTTTTAGGTCCATGTCTTCTTTTGATTTGCCAGTCGGCCCCGCCAGATTCTAAGTTGCCTAATTGGGGAAAGAACTACAATAGCCATCCTATGCAGCAAAGTGGATTCAGTAGAAGAAACACCCCACTTCACATCTCATAAACTCTTGCGCATCCGCCGCCCTACTGCGGCCAACGGCCCGATCTTGGGTTACATCGATAATAAAGACTTCGCACTCCCATCCCATACATATCGTTCATCTTCATCCAGTCGTCGACGTTGATCGATTCAGCTTACTTGCAACGAACGAGCAAGAGTGACACTCAAGATGAAGTTCTTCGACAGACATAGCAAAGCACCGGGAACCGAGGCTGCTCTCAGCACCAGCCATGCAGCTCCCGAGAGTGATCTTGAAGAGAAACATGGTTCAACCACAGATAGTCCTGAGAATCCCTCGCTCGAGGTCTTGCCAGACCAGGATGTTCAGGGGGGTGTTAAGAAAGCTCAAGCTATCACACTCAGCTGGACAAAGAAAGAGTTACTCATTGCTTATGCTTGGTGAGCGGGACCTCTTTTGCATTCGAAAATCATTGAACTAAAGCTGACGTGTCACCAACCAGCGTGTTTCTTGTATTCTTTGTCAATTCTATGCAACAGCAGATCCAAAATAACCTGGGTGTCTATGTCACCTCAGCCTTCCTCTCGCTTCCTTTGTATGGAACAACCTCAATCGTTTCCGGGATCGTGGGAGGTGTAATCAAGCTTCCAGCCGCCAAGTTCATTGATTTAATTGGACGTGCTGAGGGTTTCGCAATCTTTACCTTCCTTGCTACTATGGGTATTACCTACCGAGTCTCCAATAATAGGAGCAATTGCTAATCTTGGTTCAGGTCTTGTCATGATGGCTGCTTGCCGCAACGTCGAGACATACGCTGCAGCCCAGGTAAGGAACTATGAGAAGTCTTTATGCGTTACATTCTGATGGTTTTAGGTCTTCTATTGGGTTGGATTTAATGGGATGGCATACGTGCTAGACGTCTTCCTTGCGGACACTTCGAGCTTGAAGAATCGGGCATTGTGGTTCTCATTCTCAACGGCGCCATACATCGCCACCACTTTCATTGGTCCACCGGCCGCATCTTCCATCTATAAGACTAGTGGCTGGCCATGGGGGTTCGGCATGTTTGCTATCATTACACCATTCATGACACTCCCAATTTTCTTCGTCCTGTACCACAACCAGCGCAAGGCAGTCAAACAAGGGGTTCTTGTCAGGGAGAAGAGTGGGCGAAGCTTGGTTCAAAGCATCGTTTACTACTTCTGGGAGTTCGACAGTGAGTGTACTCGCCAACATCCAATCGAAGTTTCACTGACCAAAGGGACGTAGTCATTGGCCTGCTCCTTATCATTGCAGGTTTCTCGCTTTTCCTCCTCCCCTTCTCCCTCGCCTCCTACCAATACAACTCATGGGGCTCTGCAACGATCATCGCCATGCTTGTCGTTGGACTCCTATGCCTATTCGCCTTCCCTTTCTATGAGAGGTATTTGTCCGTTAAATCGTTCATCCCGTTCCACCTCCTCACGGATCGCTCTGTGCTAGGCGCCTGCCTACTTTCAGGTTGCCTCTTCATCTCTTTCTACCTCTGGGATTCCACCTTTAATAGTTACCTGCAAGCTGTTCATGGTCTTTCCATCACCAATGCCGGTTACGTCTACAACATCTACAGCATCGGCTCTTGCTTCTGGGGCATAATCGTTGGTATCGCTATTCGCGTCTCCGGTCGTTTCAAATGGATTGCCCTCGCTTCACTGTGTCTTCAAATTCTTGGTGTCGGCCTCATGATTCACTTCCGTCAACCAAGTCAAGGCATCGGCTATGTGATCATGTGTCAGATCTTCATCGCTTTTGGAGGTGGCGCGCTTGTTATTTGCGAGGACATGGCTGTCATGGCCGCTGCTCCTCAGGAGAATGTCGCTTCCATGCTTGCACTTATCGGGCTCTTCACCTCTGTTGGTGGCTCGATCGGTCAAGCTATCTCGGGTGCCATTTACACGAACAAATTCCCTGCTGCGTTAGACAGAGCACTTCCCGGCAACGCGACGTTGAACGCGCTGTTGTATGGCAGTTTGACTGAACAGTTGTTGTATCCGATTGGCAGCCCCGAAAGAACGGCGGTCATCTATGCGTACGCCGATGCACAGTGGTACTTGACGATTGTAGGGACCGTGTTCCTGGTTCCGTGCTTTGTATTCATTATTATCTGGAAGGACTTCAAGGTTAAGGATCTTCGGAAGGTGAAGGGTCTAGCTGCTTAGATGGTGGGGAGAGGGGTTGTATATACGATATATGGATAGAGATGACTAGAAGATGTTATCATAGTGTATTAGATGATACTTAATAAGAGGTTCATTAGAACGAGAAACGATACACTAAGCCCTGGATTATACTTAAACTCCACCACCTTTGCGTGCGATTCAGCTGCTATCAATATATGGTTACCAAAAAACCAGCATTACCGAGAAGAAATATTTCAACGTAACGTATATTATTTTTATATGAAGAAAGCTGTTGGAAACCCCTTGTGAGGTATTTATAGAAATCGGCCGATGAAACGTGCACGTGCCACCAGATTTACATGTAATACAGTACATTTTGTCATAGGAAGCCGCGTATTTACATGTGAATGATCTCATGGCCATTCCACTCACCACGTTTGATATTTTCTCTCGAACTGCTCGGCCTGTCTATTGCTTCACTTAATGCCGCTGCCAAATCCTCAACCTTACATCAGCGCAGAGCAATGACTGAACCAGCGCCCAGGAGCTTCAAAACACCCCCAGAAGCCCGAGATGCCTGAGCATCTCAAGCCTTCACAACCACAATCGCACACCCAAAAGCTCCGCGGCGATGCCCTCCGCCGTCTCTCGCGATCGCCTCATCCCTACCACAGACAGAAAGTCGACAGTCCGCAAGCCTTGGAAAGATTCAGCTCCTATGCACCGCCCACGCAATCGCCCCTGCGCTCGAGACACAATACAGACGATGAAGACCAATACATCAGAGCCTACTCACCGGGCTATAATGCGTCTACGAATAGCGATAGTGGGACGGAGGCGGACGATGAGCATTTCTTGAAGGGACTTCCTGCGCCGAAGATCAGGCCTCATAAGGGCCTCAGAGCATTAGATGGAAGTTTGTCTGGCTCGCCGAGTCCGCTCTTGTCGCCCGCTCTACTGGATGGTGATACGCAGAAAGAGGGTTACTTGAATCGGGCAACACTGCCGAGTACCAGTCTGAAAGAGTTTGATGCGCAGAAAATTGCAGAGAAGTTGAGGCATAAGCGGAGGGTGGAGGTTATAAGGAGGGTTACGGAGGCTGGGATTCTGGCTGCTGTTGCTGGGCTACTGTGTCTGAATCCCGAAGTGCGGCAGCTCATCTGGCTATGGAGAAGGGGTATGTTCCTAGCTTTGTTGCCCTCGAATGTAGCTAATAAATGTAGAATTGGCTTGCCAGTCTGTCATTGTGGTTTCTCTCATATCCATATACCCATTCCGATTACTACGGCATATAAACCCTGCACAACCATGGAAGAGGCCATTTCCAATAACAATACCCGCGGCTTTCGATCCAGCGTCTCTGCTCTACCCACCTATCATTGCAATGCTCGTTTCCCTGATACTATCTACAAGCAACCCCATTGGCGTTTTACCAAGCATTACTCTGGCTATATCTTCGCTTCCACGTCAATTGCTACCTTCCTTAGGTAGCTTAGAAAGTTCCAATGTGCTCCATTGGTTTCTTTCATGTCTCCCTATCCTTGTACCGAAGCTTAAGGCTGTGTCGAAAATACTGGAGGCCTCACTAAAAGACTTCAGAGTGGACAGTGAAGTTTTAGTGGTGTTACAGCCTTTACACCTTGCCTTGTGTGATACATTGCAGTATCTAACTACAACAAGCCTACTTCCCGCAGAGCTCCAATTATTATCAGTAGCGTTAATACAATTATTGCTATTGGGATCATCGCCCCAAGCTGTTATCCTGAAAGCTGTTATTTGGGGGGCCGGAATTGGAATACTGGTCACTTGCACACGCGTGCTTAGATGGGGTTTAGCACTTGCTCGAGTTCCAAAATGGCGTTTCAGACGAGCTGGCAATACAGCCAAGCCGAAGCAAACCTGGACAAAGCACACTCATAAATCATCTTTATTTGGGGCACTAGGATCTTCTCTCTTCACAAAAGACTCAGCAGTCAGTGACTCGAGCGACGAAGATGACCCAAAACGATGGACTAGACAGCAATCACGCTCTTCTACGCTTCGAATGAAAACTCAAGCCACCATCTCGGAGCATAATGGGGCGGCCGAGAATGGCTCAGTCTCCGCTATTGATCCAAAGTCGAAAGATCAGTTCATGGACGGCGAATTATCCTTCGCAGCACACAGGCAGAGGAGGCATTCTCTACCTACTGCAGTCAATCTGCCTTCGAGATCGAGCAAAAGAACACCGTCAGGTCGTAGGAAACGATCTGCTTCTTCGAGCGTTCAGTCCTTCTTTTCCCTTACACAGGCTCAAGCTAGTCTACGAAAGTGGCTCTATGCAGGCTACGTCTATGTCTGTGTACTGGCTATTATTCTCGTTGGAGTAAGAGAATACGTCCAGCGGTATGCACTGCATGGACATGAACCGCTAGGTTGGGCATTGGGCTACCTCTTTGGAGACCTTCCCTGGTTCAGAATGGAAGTCGTCAAGGCAAATCTCCAAAGATGGATTCCCCTCCCTACCCGGAGTGAGAATGATAAAGCATCCTGCCATCTGGGTTGGGTCGAGCACTTACGGCACTCCTCTTTTGGGGAAGCCAATACCCGTTTGATACTCTGCGGCTACTGGCTAGGAATAATCATCGTCGGCCTCCTAGTAGTTTTTCGCCTATCAGCCGTCTACGAAGTCGACACTCGACGAAAAGTGTTCCATTTTATGATGGTCGCCATGCTCCTGCCCGCCACCTTTGTGGACCCCGCCTTCGCCGCCCTAGCACTGAGTCTCATGCTCGCCATCTTCCTCCTCCTCGACCTCTTCCGCGCCACCCAGCTCCCGCCATTATCGAAACACTTGGCGTACTTCCTAACGCCCTATGTAGATGGAAGGGACCTTAAAGGTCCCGTGGTTATATCACACATCTTCCTCCTCATCGGCTGTGCCATCCCGCTCTGGCTATCTCTCGGCTCCCTCCCGCGGACCCCCGACAGTGCTGGCTGGGAAGTGCCCACGCGCGAGGTCAGCATGGTCAGCGGGGTCATCTGCGTTGGCATGGGGGACGCAGCTGCTTCTTTAATCGGCCGGCGCTACGGCCGGCGCAAATGGGTCTGGGGTGGGGGCAAAAGTATCGAAGGCAGTATCGCGTTTGCTACCGCTGTTACCATCACTCTGGTCCTGGCCAAAGCCTGGATTAAGATTGGTGGCTGGCAGGCTAATAACAACGATAGCTGGATCGTGACGGTGGGTAAGGCGGGCGTCGCGGCTTGGGTTGCTAGTCTGACGGAGGCGGTGCTGACGGGTGGGAATGACAATGTTGTTGTTCCTGTTGTGCTTTGGCTGAGTGTCAAGGGCTTAGATATTTAGACATGATATATAGAAGGATGGGCTTTTCGCTCCGTGGCAGGCTTGATGTGTATATGACCGTTATGCGGTCTGGTCCGGGTTAGGTACATGCATATCGGCGTTGGAATTGGCATTGGCATTCGCATTAGCACTAGCATTAGCGTGCTCTTAATAGATTACGAGTTCTCAAACCTCAATTTTAACACCAAACTTCCCCGGCTCTTTTAAAGCGACTCTCTACTAAATCGAAGCTTTGAAGTAAGTAGATCTTGTGAGAATACAGAGTAACGTTGCTGACCGTCCTAGGTATAGTATGTGAATCCTTCGATCGCTTGACCGGCCTACAAGTAGGGCTCGGTAGCACCGAAGGTTGTAATGTAGGTTTAAGGCGGAGTGCGAGGTGCACGGTGCATGACTACTGTGTGCTAGTCCATCCTGTTAGAATTGTATGGATCGGAGTGGTGGGATAATCTGTAACTTGGAGAATGTACGGATCGGAATGTGCTTCTGTGCATAATTATGCGGGTCGGAGGACGTGTGTCTGGTACGGCTGAGAGGCGGACGGGATGTTCTAAGTTTGGAAGAAAGAATGGATTCGCTGAGATGGAAGGGGGGGTTAATCTTGTGTATGGATTTGTTCCTGTTGTGTATCTAATTCTGTTTTGTTTGGGTATATTAAGAAATGTAGGGGGTAAGTATTCGTTTACAGTCGGAATTTAAAATATGATGAAATAACGTTTTCCTAAGTGAACTAGAAAGGCATAATCTGGACTTTTAGTTTGTAATATTGAAACGCAGACTATATTGTTCCCGGCGTCTTTTTAGCACAGTGACAAACGGAGTTATTAGTTGCAGGTCTTATATGAAGACTGAGAAGCTTGGTTATAACTTATACTAAGTAAGGCTTTCTTTCGCATGCTATAGTATAGTACGGAGATAAAAGATATCATCTCCATTTCATGAGGCTATGCTTATCATTCTACGTAGTACTCTGAAGGAAGTATGCTCTTTTCTACATATTTTTAATTCGTTCTCAGTCGTTCGAGTTCGGCGGATGAATATGCTTATCTATAGGATTCTTAGCCCAGGATCAGACTAACTAGGGTTATGAGGGAGGGTATACTTCGTAGAGTGGTAACTTAACTGCCTATCAGTAATAAATTGTGCGAAAAAAAACTTACATGGAAGCAATGGAAACTTCTTTCGACCTTCTATATGTTTTGTTCGAATTATTAATCTACATAACTATTTCTTCTCTGGAAAAGTTGATCAGGACGAAAATCGCTGTTGTTCTGAAAAGTACTCGCTAGGTGCACAGACAAATTCAGATGGCCGCCGGCCGCCCCCGCCTCCCTTTCTCTACGTATTCCCCACGCTCCCCAACTTACGCGTAGGAGCTTATTTTTGCAGCGCCGCATCCTGTCAATCTACCTTTCCCGATATGACAGGGCTAGAAGAACGCTAGCCTCTTAAACCCCTCGATGGTAGAGGATCCAAGCTTACATAAGTCGAAAGCGCCTCTTGGGGCAAACCGTCTTCCCCGTCTTTGACGATTTGCCTCTTCTGATCAAGGGAGCTTGTACCTTGATGATCCTGAGACCGTTACATTGTGAATCTATTCTTTATCTGTACTGCGTTTCATGTCTTTTGACCTTGCATCCCATATGATTTGGTAGGGAATAGTATGAGGGACTAAACCTTTCGAGATGATTGCCTTCCTCCCAATGATTGTCAAAGTTGTTGAATCCTAAATCTACAGTATGTCAGGCGTGAAGCCATTGCCTGCTAGACGACTTCTATCAGGAGCGGATGGGGCTATATATATGAGTATACATTACGTCCCCCCGCGAGTTATTTGCATGCTCTTTCCCTTTCCTCAACTGTACGCACTTTGTCCAGCCACTCGCGTTCCCCGTTCAATTCTATCGCTGTCAATATGGTAGCTACTAAGAGCCTCAGTCACTCTTCTGCGGTGGTCTTACTTTTTCTCTCAAGCTTGACTAACGCTGATCTAACAAAGCCCAAGCCCCTGCCCTATAGAGCTCTCGATGTTCGAATAGCAACAGGATCAGCAAGTGTAGCAGCCAACAGCAGCTCCTCCCACCCCGCTTCAAAACCAACCTCCGTCACAGAATCATCCAATTCCACCATCACAGGATCTCCCAAAATCATCGCAACCGAGACAAACGAAGTCGGGGCTATTAATGGCTGTACAAGTGTATCGCTGCTACAATATACAGATGGCTCTTCTAAGATCCAAACCATGACCAACTGTGTGGGTTCCAGGTTCCCTGTGAGCACCATTCTCGCGATGGCAAGCTCAGAAGCCGCAATGGCATCGTCCCTTCAGCCAGTTTCCGTGCCTGCGACAGGCTGCGCTATGGACACGAAGCATGATGGGTCAAACGACAAATTCTGTACTTGCGCTGGGTCAGGGACCGCGTCTGCAAGTAGTGTTAGCACTATGTTAGGCTACTATAGAATGAACACCACAACAGTCTGCAATACAGGCAAAGGCTCGCTGCCAACTGGCTACGTCGAAGTTCCCGAAATCAAGAGTGAAAATATCAACAACTGGGGGGTTTGGGCAACACCACCCTCGGATGCTGTAGCGGGCAACTGCACGGACGTCGAGGTTCTCGATCCGAGGTGTTGGGAGTCTCTCTTTATGGACGAATATGTGAACTGGTGGGTAAGTAATTAAGATTTCATTGGTTGTATTTCGAGGCGTGAAGTACTGTTTTGAAGAACTGGATCGAGAAACCCACACAACATCTCGTCGCTCTTGGAAACTGGATCCGCACTCTTGATATCTCTTAAAGAAGCAAGGCTAACTCAACGTTCTTGATAGTGGGGCGCATTCAACAATACTTGCCACGACACAGCTTTTGCTGAATGTTTTTTTATTGCCATGACACCATATGCTCCAACGGATTGTAGCATATTTGGAATTGATCCTACATGTACCAAACCTGATTGGAGTGACTTCAAAGGCACATGGAATGACGTGAGGAACGCCTATGTCGCGGTAAGTTAATCTATATACCTTGTTCCTTTAATTAATGTTAATATGTAACTTGTAGTGGAATCTTTATAATGTTAGTAAGTATAGAGGACTGCTCATATTGCCTGCGCACGAAAACATCTTCAAAGGGCAATTTGTTAACCACCAAAACAGATAAATTTTTCGGTGACTATTGGATCTCAATTGGCAACGCCGCAGGTTTAGTGGAAGGCAATGTCGGCGAGATTGTTAAAGTTATTGATACGGCTGTCCAGAAGAAAAAGTAGCTCACCACTTTTTTATTTCCCTTCTTTCACTTTGCTAAACTCCCGAAGAGAGGCTTATTCTTTCCGCACTTTATTTTTATGACAAACGATATACTAACTCGCTATAGTGTTATGTTGGATATTATGATGCAAGTACTAACAAGTGGTCTGGCATTTATCCCATCACCTGCAGGTGCGATCGCTTCGACGATTGCCAAGAATCTGCTCATTACTGCAGCACAGTCTGGCTTCATCACTAAGCTTATAATGCCCATGAGCTCATCGAACTCGCAGCTCGTGCAAATGCAAGACATTGCTGCAAACGCAAGCAACCTCATGTCCCAACTGCAAGTTCAAGTCAGCAAAACGCTTGCGCCGATACAAAACAACGGTACGTGAAGTTTTGCATTGCAGGCAGTTTGCGAGTTCTCAGCATGTCTGAAGAGCTCTGTCCTTCACTCTGAAAAACATCCAGTAAGAGCAAGATCTTATACTAATTCGTTGGATAGTTACTCTTTTTGCTACTACTGCCTCTAACGGTGCTTTTAGCTCATTCCTGCCCAATCTCCAAGATTTTGCTTCCAATGCTCTGAAAGGCTTCAATGCATATATCATATCTCAAGCCTACCAATCGAACGATGTGATGATCGTCCGCCAACTCAACACTTCAGTCCGAGCCCTCATGACAAACGGCACAAAACTCAGCTACCCCTTAGACTGCTCCGACGATTACGACTCGAATGGAATTTGCGGTACATTCTGGTACGACTCTGCCGAGGACACAACTTACTCCTTCATGAGCAAAAAATCAAACGATAGGTGGAAGGGTTACAACGACCAGATGCTGACCTGGTTTCCCGGGTACACCGACCCGTCAATCATCTTCCGCGGCGCCTCACGCTGCGCCGCATCCGCCAACTCGACCCAAGGCTCCGCAAACCCCGTCACCGTGTCCAACATCACAGGTGCGTACATCAATAACGACTGTCTGTCCAACATGCGCGTCTGCACATGGTCTCTGAACCCCGGAGCCCCCTCGGGCAGCGGGTTATCCTGGGACCCGTTATTCACAGATTGCTCGGACCTAGACGCCTTCAGCGATATCGCCGATACGCAAGGACCGGCTGCGAAGGCGCCTGGGTCCGATTCTAGTCAATATCTACAGAGGCCGTGTAAAGGTGTCGGTGGCTCTGATGATGCCGGTGATCACACACCGTATCTGGCTGCTTGGAGGCAGTATCTTGGATGGGGCATTTATGATGATCGGGCGAAAGCGGCCGGTACGGTTATTTGTAGGGGTGATGGCAGTCAAATAACATGAGGTGATGTTTGGAGGAAAATCGCATTGTTGGAGTTGGTTTTGGCGTTGGCTGCTATTTCTGCTTTATATACATTAGGTAATGTACCGCTAAGCGGTATAGGTCCTTTAAACTATATATTCCATATAGTCACAAAAACTACTGTATCCGACCTCATTTTAGCTAGAAATGAACCCTTTCCAACGCCAAAACCAGTGACCAAGTCCGACCTGGGTAACTTTATTAAATCACCGTCGAACGCCTCAGTCATAAATGCATAAATCTATCAAATCAACGTCAAGGCTCTGAACAAATAGCAAACTACTTCATCATCACGTGAATTGGATTCTACAGTCTCGCTTAGCCCCTTTCCCAATACGCGAGGTCACTCTTATACAATCACTTCATAATACCAAATTACCATAATTTCATCACCCAACCATTCCTTTTCCT